GTGGCTGCATGAAAGTTTCTTCATTAGCATGGCGGAAGCGTAGAGAGTTTTGGTTGAGGGCTAAGCGGGAATCTACAAAAACGATGTTGGAGAGCAAACTGGGTGTTGGGGAGCAAAAGTGTGCACTAGAGTGAAGGGCGGGCCCGAGGCTAGTTCCGTTGCTGGGACTTGAACCTGGATCTCTCGGTTATATTAGGACGTTGTACAGTTGGCTTCCGACCTTGAAGCGCTCGATCGGGTCGGAGGCGATTTGACATTTTGAGCAAGCCACTTGAAGGGCAGTGGGAACTTTGCCCTGCGTTATTTTGAGAATTCGCAAATTCATTGGGGCGATCATTGCATTGATCGTTGGCAATGTTCCACGCCCTCAGTACGTTTCCTTCTCATCCACAAACCAGGGGGTAGAAGGGCCAACGCAAAATAGAAGGCGGGGACGGGGGTTACTTTCATAGCGACATCGCCTGCCCTTCCCCTCCCGTGCGGAACTCGGCGACGGCAAGCGAATATAAATTATCGTTGGCGAAAGCACTAAAGCAAGGACAGTCAGTCAAAATCGAGGGTCCTAAACAGCGGTGATTTTTCCTAGAATCTTGTGGCTATTAGCCCTTTCCACCTATTACTATGTACGTTCAAGCGATTACTGTACCACGAGTATGCGGGGAGGGGACAAAACATCTCCCGCACGGGGCGGCACTGCCACCCACGGCAACAGTGCCGCCGTACATGCTTGGTTGGTCTGCGAGGACGTCCGGCATCCGAACCAAACAAACCAGTGGCTTTCCTTCCTCCTTACCTTACCGAACCAAACCAACCAGCTTGGATTATGAGCAAGCATTCAGACGCCATTCCATGACCCGTGCATGAACCAGGGCCCTGTGTTCGTTCGTTGCTCAGATACTTCATTCTGCGATCAGCATTTTTCCATCAGCAGTTTTTTGTTCTGATTCCTGGTTTTGCTAAGCTCTGTCAGTGGGGAGCCATGGCGTCGATGAAGCTCGCGTCGTCGTCGAGCATGGCTCTCCTCGTTCTCATCGCCGCCTCTGCACTGCTTCCCTCCGGGTAGATATTTTGGACAATGTAGATGGTCTTAAAGTTTCTCGCATACCTTCATTTGCATACTCCCTGTTTTTTCCTGACAGTACTAGCTTTCGTCTTTCAGGTGTGTGGCTCAGAGCACCATGAACGCGAATTTCACCACCAACTTCTTCGGAGGTTACTTGCGCGTTGATGTCGGACCCAATCGCAATCAGATCCGCGTGCAGGTTCGTTCATATAGATTTGTTTGTCAGTACAACATTTGGTTCGTTCGTTTCGTTCATTCAATTGTGTTGCGGCGTGATCACGTCAGGCCCGAGCCTTGTTCAATTGCCTTACTACATTCTCAGTAACGCGTTTGATTTCATCTTTATTCTACGTTATACGTGTACGACAGTGTTCCTCATTGAGCAATTTCCTTGTCAGAAACAACAGATCGTGATGTTCTTACTCCAAACTCCCTTCCTCACTGATGCGAGTTTCTGCTGCAGGCGAACCTACCGGACTGGATTAAGTCAGTTACACCCAAGCAAGAATACATTGTGGAAAAATACACTCTGCCGACCAGTGAGTGCCATCATGCAACACCAATTACAGCATCTTAGATCTCAGTGCTTCAGTTATGACCTCCGGTTCGATTTGCCGCCACCTGAGTGGCTTTTCCGTTTGCCCAGACACTTCACCCATACAGCATCCATTAATATGCTCTCCCCTCTCTTTTGCTTCCTTTTCATCAATATGCAGGCTTTTCCTCCCTCACGGACGTCAAGCACATTATCATGTCCTTCAGCCCTTCCTCCTGCTACCCCATCTGTACGTGTAAACACGCCGCCATGCCACATTCTGCACCACGTATGCAGTTGACAGGCTTTGACAGTACCAAACCAAACGTCGGCAAAAATGCAAGTTACACCCTCCCTTCTCGTCTCTCTCCTTCTCTCGACCCACCATTCCTGGACCAGTCACACTCCTCTCTCCACCTCCCCTCCCACGTCCCTCTTCCAACCCTGCAGACAACACCACCAAAGTAACCCCTGAACAGGCCGTCCCCGCATACCTTGCATCAGGATCAGACATCTGCCTCTCCTGCTACGTCTACCTCACCTTCTCCTTCCTCGACGAGGCCACGGCGAGTCAGATCGGCAGCATTTGCACGGAAACAGACAACGGCATGCTGCGCGGGTACATCTGCTCCACGGACGAGGGGGCTGACGTCACGGAGGCGCAGGCGTTTGGGAGTCCGCCAGTGGTGAATGGCGGCGGGACGTCGGTGGGGTTTCTCTACACGGAGATGTTTGTGCGCCAGCCCGCTGGCTCCACCATGCGCCTCCCCTCCGTCCAAGTGGATCCCCTGTGAGTAAGAACAATAGGCTCCAACTGTTTTTTTTTTTTTTTTTTTTTTTTTTTGCTTGGCAGTTTCATTTTACTGTATGTGACTCCGAGTTGGTGTTTCCATGTGCGCATGTGAACATGTGTGCAAGCGTGCATGTATATGCTGCATGTGTGTGCATGTGTGTGGATGTAAGCAAGCGCGCATGTGTGTGCGTTTATGCATGTGTGTGCGTTTGAGCATGTGAGTGCGTTTGAGCATGTGTGCGCATGTGTTTGTCCGCGTGTACATGTGCACGTGCGTTTTTTGTATGGCTGCATGGTGGCATCCTACCAGGGCCATAAAGGGAATTGGGTACATCATGGTGCCATCCAAGGGACCCACTCCTCTCCCTGGGGCCTTTGACGCCATGCCCTTCATTGCAGGCAACGACAGCAAGGTGAGGGACCAGAGTAACCAATGCCGAACACTCAGCCAGGGATTTCCTGTGCAAAAGCAGCATCGATATCTCTGCATGACCATCGCCTTTCAATGTAATATCTTAGTATTCTTGCCATGTTCAATTGCCTCTTTTACCAGTCAATAACCAACAGCAAGCCGTGCCACTTCCCGTCCCCTCCATACCTTCCAGGCTGTGGGTGTTGGGCTAGTGTTCTCAATCACCCTGGTCACTCAGGCGTCGCTCGCAACTACCCCATTCAGCAGCAACACAGTGCAGACAGTCACACCCACCGCCTTCCCTGCGCTCTCTATGAGTGCTGCTGCCAACCAGTCGCTCACTCTCAATGCCAGCATCATCCCCCCTGCTGCCCCTGGTGCCGCTGCTGCCTCATACAACCTCTCATTCTACATTGGCAATGTGGTATGTGTCTTCAGTACCCTAACGCCTCTTCCTTCCAGATAAGTGGTTCCTGTGTTGCTGCCGTCTTTATACCCCTTGGGCTGTTTTTGTTATAATTCTTGTGTTGCTTGTATTTGCAGAATGCGACCAAGGCTTCTGCTCGTTTCAGCGCAACCTGGATGGTTGTGATGTTTGCACTCCCTGCTCTCCTGACCATGATTTAGTGGGACGAGCTGCACAAATGTTACATGCTGATGCAGGAACATGCTGACTGATGGTGCATGATATTGCATTGCATGGCAACACTAGGCAGGGTTTCGGGTTTAGGTCGTTAAACCCTGGCTTGACACTACCAAAAAAAGCTTGTAGAAAATGTGTACAAACATTTTGACACACCCCCGCCTGCAGCGAGAACTGGTGTGACTGCAACAGTTCTCGTTGCAGGCAGTTATGGGGGTGTGTCAAAATGTTTGTACACTCTTTTTTATATAAACTGCCTTGGCATGGAATTCAGTGTAGTTACTGTAATAAACTGATTGGTGCTGCGGTGCATCTTTGCCTCTCACTTGCTCTTGCTTGTACCAACTTTTCGTGCCCCTTCTAGAAAAACACCTTCCTTCTTGTTCAATTGTCCTATCTCCTGGCTCCTAAGTTCGTTTCTTACCGTACCGTAATCACCCGGATATACTACCTTTAGTTAGACCCGTTGTCTTATGATACGGTAACTACAATAGAAAATGGTGGTTTTGGAAGGTCTTACCAATCAAGCTACCCTTAATGATTGGTGATGAAACATATATCTTCTACTGCATAACCAAGTGGAAGGGCATCAGGTCAGAGGTTGAATGTTAGGAGTAGACGTCAGTTTGCAGTTCATTCATTCCTGTAGGTTTATACCATCCTAGTAGGTATTTCCTTGTGGAATCTTCTTTTCGTAACAGCAACTGCATCACAGCAACAATTGCCTAACTCGCATTGGCCAGAACTTGCGGCAGTATTCAGTGTGTGATTGGATGCTTTTCCACTTCACACGCGCCGACTTCGGAGATGGCAGAGATCATTGGGCAGTAAGGTTATTTCTGACCAGAGCCTGGTGTACACGTGTAAGATTTTCAGTTACACCAGACCACACATTACGAACCGCTTGCGGCTCCTTCGGCTTGAGTTCGGAGCCGCCTTATTGGTGAATTTCTTATTTTCCACGCCGCCCCCCACCCAAACCCAATCGACTTCATCTCTGCTCAGCTCAGACCACTCCACCCTATGATATCCCATTCCACCTGACCTAACCATACTCGTTTGGGATTAGCCTCAGATCATCAGTGTCTCCCCTATCCATCTCGTGGAGTCGTGGGCTGTGATTCCTCTCCTGTCTCGATTTCTGCACCCCCCTTCCCTGAATTTGTCGCATTTATGTGAACTCTATTTGTGAGTTCCACGGCACAGCTCGCAAGTGCTCGATCTCGTCACCCCTTCCGACTCTAAAAACAACTGACCGATTAGAAGCTAAAAGGACTCTACCTAAGGTTGTGCACAGAGTTTTTAAGCCAGCTTTGGCCGAGCCACGACAATTGAGTAATTATTTCAATTGCCTAAGACGCCATGGCGAATATAGGCATTGGAGCTATAACCGCCGCTCGTTCCGTCGCGTACCCGATAAACTGCCAATTGAAATATGGCGTGCAAGCAACGCCACCCGGTGGATATTTCATTGGCAAAAACAGTCATTTACGTAAGCTGCTACAACCTCGCGAGATTCGCAACAATGGGAGAAATCGACGTGCGACAATCGCGATGACGATCAGCCGCATCCCTCCGTCCGACACGGTTCTCGAGGCGTCGCAGAATACGACAATGACGATTCCCCCACGGACAACTCTTAAAGAATATCTCGATAAGATTACGGACCCGTTAGAAGCGGAGCTGCGGACTCGTTACTGGCTGCCGCACATCACGGATATCGATCCCGACTCACCGTCGTTCTACTCCACGTTTTGCACAAAGACAAGGTCCGCACGTAAATCCCCTCACCACCTCCCGTCCGACGCCTCAATTTTTGCTAATCTGACGACAGGGGCGCGTAGTTCGTTTACCTGCAAGGGGGCTCCCTTTTTGTTATCCACAGGACCCATGAAATCTTATGCATTGAATTTCGTGCATTCACGCGGCTCGTACTAAGTTGCGTCTTGAGCCGACTAAATATGCATCACAGTTGTGGACCCATGATGGCGATCCGCTGCCAATTCGTGCATTCACGGGGTTCGCGCGGAATGAATCTTCGAAAGATGCGAGTCGCCCCTTGAGAGGAGACTTTAAACTGGGCGTTCTTACTTTTCGGAAGGGAATAGAACCGCTCAGAGTTTTGGCGGTCCCACCAGAATTTTCTTGCGAGCCCACCTCTTATCTTCCTGACGCCATGCCGCCTCCCCTCTTCTTCCTGCGTGCAGCTGTCCGCTGCTGCCACTCGACAAGGGCGCGTCGTTCGTGGACTACGATACGCACGAGCTGGGCACTACGTCGCTCTTCGTGCACGATAACGACAAAGTGCTGCTCAAGGTGGGGCGGGACTCAAGGTGCGGCGCACGCGTGCTCAAGGTAATGCAGGCACCACGTCGCTCTTCGTGCACGATAACGACAAAGTGCTGCTCAAGGTGGGGCTTGCACGTGCTCAAGGTGGGGTGGACACGTGCTCGAGGTGGGGGGCCACGTGCTCATGGTGAGGCGGGCACGTGCTCAACGTACACCAATAAGCGCCAACGGTTCTCTGTAACGACCTGGCCTTCCTCACTCACACCCTATTCAAACCCACTCTCCACCCCTTTCTTGACGTGCATACTTTTGAGGCGCCTAAAAAAAAAAAAAGACGCATACCCCTGCTCCTCCTTTTCCACTCCTAACCACCCTTCACCTCTCCTCTTCTCCTCTGCCCCCAACTATCCCAATCCCACCTCTCTTTTTCTCTCCTCGCCGCCTTCTCTCCCCTCGCCCCCCCCCTGCTCGTGCAGACTGTGAAGTACGCGCATCCCATGACAGCCGACGCCTCATTTGAGGAGGACTGCCACCAGTGCGGCGCATCAGGGGTCACACATTCCCTCCAACCTACTCCGCATCCCATCCCCTTCCCCTGCTCGTGCAGACCGTCAAGTACGCGCATCCCGTGACAGCCGATGCCTCATCGGAGGAGGATGGCAACTGGTGAGGCGGATCAGCCGCAACCAGAGCATCTCCTTCTCCCTTTCCACCACCACCTTCTCTGTCCCCTTCTGCGTTCCTCAGACCGTCAAGTACTCGCATCCCATGACAGCCGATGCCTCATCCGAGGAGGATTGCCAATTTGTGCAGCACTGGTGCGTTCGCCTTGCATGGCCGCAGACAGGTGTGAGGGAGAGAGAAGGGGAGGTGCGGGGAGGGGGAGGGTAAGGGAGAGGACAGAGGGAACGAACGAATAGACCGGGAAGGAGGAGGGAGGTGACGTGGCCTCGGAGGTCTCAGAGAGTCAGGTCCTTTAAATGGTATTTTCCCTTTGAAGAGAGTCAGGCTAGTGCAGGCGGGAGCGACGATCAGAAGGTTCTTCGCGCTACGCCCAGCCAGGGCCCCCCTTAACTTTCCCCCCTCAGAATCTTTTGAGACGTCTCAGAAGTCACGCTAGGCCTCCCCTTAATTCCCCCCCCTCAGGATCTTGCTCACCTATTGGCCCCAGTGGTGACCTTTGAACCTACCCTCCGTTTTTTCCTTCTTCTCTCCTTCTTCTCTCCCCCACCTCTTCTCCACCTCCCTTCCAGGCTGGTGCGAGCGGGGGCGAGGCCGCGCATATTCTTCAAGCCACAGGACGTGCGTGCTGCTGTGGTGACGTGCGGGGGGCTCTGCCCTGGACTCAATGACGTCATCCGACAGGTGAGGGGGGCGAGATGATGACATCATCATGCCGTGAATCGCTGTGCGTCTGGAGGCATCAAGTATGGCTCTCATGGAATAAGTGGGCGACATGCCTCGATCCCCTCCCTTTTCTCGCCTCTCCTCACCTTACCCCACCGCACCCCATCCCACCCCGGCCCCCACACCTTGTGCTTCTGGCAACAGGTGTTGATGACACTCAACACGTACGGAGTGAGTGATATCCGAAGTTAAATCAAGTACGGCTTCTGACATGCCACGGACCTCTCTTCTCCTCCTGCCCCACCTCACTCCACCGCACCCCACCTCGCCCCACCCCTTGTGCTTCTGCCCACAGGTGGTGATGACACTCAACACGTACGGAGTGAGTGACATTCGAGGCATCAAGTACGGCTTTCGGGGCTTCTTTGATTCCTCCCTGCACATACCGGTCAGTGCCTGACTCACACACGTCAGTGCCTCACCCACAGAGTCAGTCCCGCCAGACCTTGTGCAAATCTCGTGCATGCCAATGCTCTCACGCATGCCTGTAAGTCCGTGATCTCACGCATGCCTGTAAGTCCGTGATCTCACGCATGCCTCTAAGTCCGTGATCTCACGCATGCCTGTAAGTCCGTGATCTCACGCATGCCTGTAAGTCCGTGATCTCACGCATGCCTGTAAGTCCGTGATCTCACGCATGCCTGTAAGTCCGTGATCTCACGCATGCCTGTAAGTCCGTGATCTCACGCATGCCTGTAAGTCCGTGATCTCACTCATGCCTGTAAGTCCGTGATCTCACGCATGCCTGTAAGTCCGTGATCTCACGTATGCCTGTAAGTCCGTGATCTCACGCATGCCTGTAAGTCCGTGATCTCACGCATGCCTGTAAGTCCGTGATCTCACACTCACTCACTCACTCCCCAACTGCCATGAAGCATCATCCGTCCCTCCCATGTGCCACGGGCGCCCTGTGAACCCACCAGCTGAACCGAGCAGTGGTGGATAACATTCACCTCATGGGCGGATCGTTTCTCGGAGTTTCTCGAGGGGGCTCCGACACCCTTGATATTGTCGACTCCATTCAGGTGGGTAGATGGGGGAGGGATGGGGCAGGGATGGTAGGGATGGGGGACAGATGGGGGAGGGATGGGGGAGGCTCTGGGGGAGGAAGGAAGATATGGGATTGAGTTCTATGAAAAGGCATGTTCAGCCGGTAATCGTCCTTTCCCTCTCCCACCCACTTTGTCCTCTCTCCCCACTTCGCGCTCTCCCTTCCCCCGCCTGCCCTTTCCATGATAAACCATCACTGCAGAAGGAGGGGATCAGCATGCTGTTTGTGATTGGTGGAAATGGCACCCATGCTGGCGCTCTGGCTTTTCCCCTCTCCCCACTTAGCCCCCCCCACTCACCCTGCTCTTTCCATACTGCAGAAGGAGGGGATCAACATGCTGTTTGTGATTGGTGGAAACGGCACCCATGCCGGAGCTCTTGCCATTCACAAGGAGGTGAGCGTGGGTAACGAAGAAAGAGACAATATGAGGAGGTAGGAGAAGGAAGGACGAGAGAGGAGAGAGGAGGTGAGGGCAGCAACCTGTACAGGTGCGTGGAACAAACCACCCACCACCCCTCCAATCCCACCCATCGCAACCCCGTACCCTACCCTACCTTCTGTTGTGCAGTGCTACAAGAGGGGAATGAAGGTGGCGGTGGTGGGCGTGCCCAAGACCATCGACAACGGCATTCTGCTGCTGGACCAGACGTTTGGGTTTGAAGTGACTTGCCACTCCACTCAAAAGACACCAACCATTCCCCCCCCCCCCTCCCCCCTGCCCCCACCTCCCCCTCCCTCCCCACTTACCAACATCCTACACAGTGCTACAAGAGGGGCATGAAGGGGGCGGTGGTGGGAGTGCCCAAGACCATTGACAATGACATTCTGCTGCTGGACCCGACGTTTGGCTTTGAAGTGAACTACCACTCCACTCAAAAGACACCCCTCGCTCCCACCCCCCCCCCCCCCTGCCCTACACCCTACACAGTGCTACAAGCGCGGTATGAAGGTGGCGGTGGTGGGCGTGCCCAAGACCATCGACAACGACATTCTGCTGCTGGACCAGACGTTTGGCTTCGACACTGCTGTGGAGGAGGCTCAGAGGGCGCTACATGCCGCCTATGTGGAGGTGAGAGGGAGAAGGGGTGCGGAGGGGTGGAAAAAGGGGGACGTGGGAGGGTAGGGGGAAGAAGGGCTGCTGGACCAGGCGTTGGGGTTTGACGCGGCTGTGGAGGAGGCTCAGAGGGCGCTGCACGCCGCCTATGTGGAGGTGAGAGAAGGAATGTGGGCAGGGGGGTAAGGCGAGCACAGAGATGGGTGGAGAGAGGTAAGGTGGACACAGAGATGGGTGGAATGGGGTGAGGTGAGAACAGGGATGGTCCAGACGTTTGGCTAGGACACGGCTGTGGAGGAGCCACAGCGGGCGCTGCACGCAGCCTATGTGGAGGTGAGAGAAAGAATGGGCATAGGCATGGGCACGGGCGTGGGCATGGACATGGACATGGGCTTGCTTGCACGCACTACTTGCCACCTGTGACCATCTCTCCCATCTCTGCAGTCTCCCCACTACCTGCTCGACTGCAGTCGTCCAGCGCATACAGGGGCATGGGCGTCGTGAGGCTGATGGGGCGGCAGAGTGGTGTCACCTCAGCTCCCCAATCACCACATCCATCCCTCCCAACCCCCCGGTGTGACTGCTGCTGCAGGCGTCCAGTGCGTACAGGGGCATCGGCATTGTGAAGCTGATGGGGCGGCAGAGTGATGTCACTTCAGCTTTCCAATCACTGCATCAGTCCCTCCTCCACCCGTCCCTCCCACCCCTTCCCCCGTGTGACACCAGGCATCCAGTGCGTACAGGGGCATCGGCATTGTGAAGCTGATGGGGCGGCAGAGTGATGTCACTTCAGCTTTCCAATCACTGCATCAGTCCCTCCTCCACCCGTCCTTCCCACCCCTTCCCCCGTGTGACACCAGGCATCCAGTGCGTACAGGGGCATCGGCATTGTGAAGCTGATGGGGCGGCAGAGTGATGTCACTTCAGCTTTCCAATCACTGCATCAGTCCCTCCTCCACCCGTCCCTCCTCCACCCGTCCCTCTCACCCCTTCCCCCGTGTGACACCAGGCATCCAGTGCGTACAGGGGCATTGGCATTGTGAAGCTGATGGGGCGGCAGAGCGGTTTCATTGCCATGCACTCCTCGCTCGCCAGCGGGCAGGTTGACATGGCGCTCATACCCGAGGTGCGTGGCGTGGAAGGGAGGGAACGCAGGGAAAGGGGTGAAGGGAAGGAAAGGAGGGGAGGGAAGGGAGGGAGACAAACGTGTTGGTTTGATTGACATGCACTCGCCGCTGGCCAGCGGGCAGGTGAACATGGCGTCCATTCCCCAAGTATGCAGCGAGGGAAGGGAGGGAGGGAAGCCTTTCACACCTTTCACCACACCGCTTGCTGTCTCAGCTGCTCACCTCGTCTTTCCTCCTCATACTTGCTCCATTCTGCCTGGTGGGCTCCAATGGACTGCACCACCAACTTCCAAGTCAATTTCTTCACGTCACCAAATTTCTCTCCGCACCCCTCTCCTCCCTCCTCTCTTGCCTTTCCTGCCTCCGCCCCTGCCTCCGCGCTCTCAACTGCCAGGTGCCGTTCTGTCTGGAGGGGCCCAACGGGGTGTTGCAGCATCTGGAGTATCTCCTGGACCGCCAGGGCCACGCCATCATCTGCGTGGCAGAGGGCGCAGGGCAGGTGAGGGTTCACATTGGGACGTTTGAGGTGAAGTTCGATGGTTGAGGTGAAGTTTGACGGTTGAGGTGAATTCTGACAGTTGAAGTGATTTTTTTATGGTTCAGGCAACCCATAAGTCATCGTGACCGCCAGGGCCACGGCATCATCTGCGTGGCAGAGGCCGCAGGGCAGGTGAGGGGTTTCATGGGGACGTTTGAGGTGAATTTGACAGTTGAAGTGTATGCTGACCAGAAGTCCTCTTGACCGCCCCGCCAGGGCCACGCCATCATCTTCTGCGGACACTAAAATGCACAGGTAAACCTCCCCGATGATGGCGACTGATCGCGATACGCAGTCATGCAGTTGCGACAGCGCCGCGTCGCCTCTTTTCGCAACCGAGCTTCTTTAATCCCCTTTTCGAGCCGCTGCTCCCTCCGCCGGTCTTCGCGCCGCTCGCGTCGCGCGTTGACGCGTGGAATCACCCACTCGTGCCAGATCACAGGACACGTCAGAAGCATCAGGACGAGAATGCGAGGAGTCAATACGCGAGGCGCGGTAAGGTCGAAGCGCCATTGCACGGGGAGCAGGAGCTCGTTAATCGCCCAGAAAGCGGTCAGCACGAGGAGGAAGGATGGGAGCGCGAAAACGGTGTGTCTGAGCCATCGCGAGGCGGCGCAAGCGACGCAAACGCTGAAGTTGGTGCTGCCGATGGAGGTCGAGAAAACGAAGGCGTGGCGCTGGCAGCACATGAAGGAGCAGCCCGCCGCGGGTCGCGGCGGCGCTTCCGCGTCAGCTGGTGAGATGGTCATGGCGGATTCGAGGTTGCATATGCAAGAATGCTTGGCGGAACGAAGTGATGGGACGGACGAGAAAGAACCGTGCCAGTGAAAAGCGTCTAGAAGATGGCTGAGAGGCGGCGGGATGGAACAGAGAGAGGGATAATGGGGGACGTGGAGGGGATAAGGAGGAAGAGTAGAGACGCAAAGGCTTGCAGGGTCCGAACCGAGGTTTGGTTGTTTGGAAATTTGGGTGGTACGGATAAAGGCTGGGCAAAGAGGTTTGATCGATACTGTGTGGCGGTGAGGGCAATCACGAGATTCTTGATTTTCTCTAGGGCTTCATGCCCAAAGGAGGTTTGAGCTTTGCCAGGTTAGAACCACATGGCAAGTCACCATCCTTAACCATACAAGAAGCTTCTTGACCGATATTTATCCTTTTAAACCCTGAGCTCAATCCGAGTACAATGCCAGGACTTTGCCGAACCGAAACGCAATAAATTTCGAGGAAACCGAACCACATCCTGGGCGTGGGTTCAGTCAGAGGGTTTGTCTGGCATGTGAGATTTTCGCACAACGGTGGATTGCAGCTGGCGTCAGGGACGACAAATTCTGCGTCACTCGGACCGGCTGTCAGCGTCAGCTTGGGCAAAAAAAAAAGGCCCAGTCCGGCCAAAGCGCAAGCAGCTGCACGAATCGCGCGACTATTCGCTCGTGGTTTACTGAACAATTCAGAATATTAACCACTCGTCTAATGCCACCTCATATACATGTTACAACTGACACCAACTGCACATTCTCAAGGCGAATTCTGGCCTCATCTGACCGTCCAAATGACCTGCGAAATTCGAGGTCGTAACGCGCTACGCGTAAAATATTTTGATCCCATAGGCGAATCAAGGCGGTGCGATGGTTGGAGGTCGCACGTTCTCGAATGTCCGAAGCTGGCGCTTTGTCTTTAATCGTTCTGGGCAAGCTGCCGTCTTCTATTACCCTTTGGTTGTCGCCTCGCCTGTTGCTGTGGTTTCTGGATTTACCCGTACCAATGGCCCCAAAAACAAATTTAGCCGTCTACAGAATAACAATCAATGAAACATATATTACACTATGGATAATGAAACACATTACTTTGGCACAGGCCAGCCAGCATCTTACAATACTGATATTTCACTCTCCCAAGAGGAGGTAATAGCCCATGAGGATGGGAAAGGATATTAAGGTCCCAAAGCAAACCCTGCATGATTTTATTGGACAAAAGGGGAGGCAAAATCGAAGGTGGTGCATGGTGCCTGAGGGGTATGGGATGATGAAATAGCGTTGGAGCAAGTCAAGTGGTGTCAAGTGAATGAGACGGATGCGTGCAGATTTCATGGGCGTTGGAAAGAAAGGAACAGAAGGGCGCGAGAGCTTGTGTTGTGTTCTCATCTCAACCCTAAACCGCTAGCTTTCGTTATCCAGTCCCGTATGCGGTGTCGTGTGACTTCTGCTCTTTCAGTCTGTGTAACTGAACACAAACGTACCGCGCCTGAGGACACGTGTATTTTGGTGCATACGGCAATCTTTGGTATGTTTGTTGTACTGTACTCACCCGGTGCTATGAATGGCGGTGTGGGATTTGTACTCGTTGGCCAGAACAAAGGTCACCACCCCTGGGGGCAATGCAGACTGAGGGAGGGGGGAGACAATGGGGAATCAAACAAGGGAGACAAGGGGGAGAGTTGGGGAGGGGAGTTGAGGGCCGTGGGGCAAGCAAAGGCTCAAATTTTATGGTGACAGTTCGGACTCATAGTGGTGGTGCAGGAAGAATGGGAGAAGTATGGCTGGGTGTGATGAGTCTATTTATGAGTTGACTCTAAAATAACTCATCACAAGGGGCAAAAAAAAAGAGTCACAATAGCTGGTGACAGTGCGGACTGGCAGTGGTGGTGCAGGAACAACGGGTCTGCTTTCAAGTCCACTCAAAAGTGGTTCAGGAAGAACAGGAGAAGCATGCCTGAAGCCCAAGCCTGAACTCCGTTTTGAGACGTCTCACCTCACCTGCATGGCATAGCACCCCTCACCTCACCTGCATGGCAATGATTCGGAAGAGCTTTCCACGGATGCCAAAGAGGAAGGCGAAGAGTGCGGTGGTGAGCGGTGTGAGGGTGAAGCGCAGCGCGAGCGACCACACGGTGTGCCACACTCCGCAGGAGAGCAGGGTCTTTTGGCTCGCCATGAAGAGACCTGAGGGGGGGGGGAGTAGAGTGGGGGTTGAGAGTGGGGAGAGAGGCGGTGGTGGGCGGTGCGAGGGCGAAGCGGAGCGCAAGTGACCACACGGTGCAGGAGAGAGCGGACTCTTCTGGCTCGCCATGAACAGAGCTGAGTGCGGGTAAAGAGGTGGGTTGGGAGAAAGGGGACTGTGAGGGGGACTGTGAGGGGGACTGTGAGGGGGACTGTGAGGGGGACTGTGAGGGGGACTGTGAGGGGACTGTGAGGGGACTGTGAGGGGGACTGTGAGGGGGACTGTGAGGGGGACTGTGAGGGGACTGTGAGGGGGACTGTGAGGGGGACTGTGAGGGGGACTGTGAGGGGGACTGTGAGGGGGACTGTGAGGGGGACTGTGAGGGGGACTGTGAGGGGGACTGTGAGGGGGACTGTGAGGGGGACTGTGAGGGGGACTGTGAGGGGGACTGTGAGGGGGACTGTGAGGGGGACTGTGAGGGGGGCTGTGAGGGGGACTGTGAGGGGACTGTGAGGGGGACTGTGAGGGGGACTGTGAGGGGGACTGTGAGGGGACTGTGAGGGGGACTGTGAGGGGGACTGTGAGTGGACTGTGAGGGGGACTGTGAGGGGACTGTGAGGGGGACTGTGAGGGGACTGTGAGGGGGACTGTGAGGGGGACTGTGAGGGGGACTGTGAGGGGGACTGTGAGGGGACTGTGAGGGGGACTGTGAGGGGGACTGTGAGGGGACTGTGAGGGGGACTGTGAGGGGGACTGTGAGGGGGACTGTGAGGGGGACTGTGAGGGGGACTGTGAGGGGGATTGTGAGGGGACTGTGAGGGGGACTGTGAGACGACACTCACCCAGGCTGAGACGACACTCACCCAGGCTGAGACGACACTCACCCAGGCTGAGACGACACTCACCCAGGCTGAGACGACACTCACCCAGGCTGAGACGACACTCACCCAGGCTGAGACGACACTCACCCAGGCTGAGACGACACTCACCCAGGCTGAGACGACACTCACCCAGGCTGAGACGACACTCACCCAGGCTGAGACGACACTCACCCAGGCTGAGACGACACTCACCCAGGCTGAGACGACACTCACCCAGGCTGAGACGACACTCACCCAGGCTGAGACGACACTCACCCAGGCTGAGACGACACTCACCCAGGCTGAGACGACACTCACCCAGGCTGAACATGGACATGCCAAGGCCCGTGTCTGCAATGATCTTGACTGACGTGCGTAGCATCTCCGGGTAGCCAAAGCCACAGCTGGAGAGAGGGGAAGCAGGAAATGGAGGGAATTGGAGGGAAATGGAGGGAAATGGAGGGAAATGGAGGGAAATGGAGGGAAATGGAGATCCATTCCACACAAAAGTTAAATGTGCAGTACCCTTGGCCAGACTACTAAGGCATGCGCTGCAGTAGCAGATGCATCACACAGGAGACTCACTCATGCGTTGGACATGACGAGGCAGTAGAGGAGGCCAAATAGTTGCTGTTAGGATTCCGCACCAACATTCCCAACAGCTATGAGGCTCCTAAGACACAAATGTTGAGTGATTTCTAAAAAAAATCGACTCACGCGTTTGAGAGGAGGGAGTGAGCGGGAGTGAGGGGAGTGAGCGGGAGTGAGAGGGAGTGAGAGGGAGCGAGAGGGAGCGAGAGGGAGCGAGAGGGAGCGAGCGGGAGTGAGAGAGAGTGATAGGGAGCGACTCACGCGTTGGACACAAGGGAGTAGACAACCCCAATGAGAGCCGCATAGTTGTTGGGGTTCCGAACCAGCTTCGCCCACACCACCCACAGCACCGCCACCACCCTACTCCTTCCCCATTTCCCATAGCAATGACTCACGCGTTGGACACAAGCGAGTAGATAACCCCTATGAGGGCCGCGTAGTTGTTGGGGTTCCGCACCAGCTTCGTCCACACCACCCACAGCACCGCCACCACCCTGCTCCTCCTCCCCTTCCCCTTCCCTTTCCTCCTCCCCTTCCTCCACCAAGCAATCCCGCTCCCTCCTTCACCCTGCTTCTCAGGCCCCACCTCTTTACAGCAAGCCAGTGGGGCGTCTGCCCCTACCGATGACATCTCTGGTACTTGCCCTTGCATCTCTTCCTCCTCCTCCTTCTTCTTCTGCTGCTGCTGCTCCTCCTTCGCTGCTGAACTTGTAACCGTGTAACTGGCACCTCCATTCCTGAGGCTGGAGCTACCTTCTGCATCGACCCCTCTATCCCAGGGCTCCTCAAACGGGGTGCTTTCAGGTATAGACGGACACTGATCGAGGCTGCTGGTCCGGCCGAAGCTGCTGGCCCGGCCGAAGCTGCTCGCCCTTCCCACTCCTCCCACTGTATCGCCACCAGCTGGTGGCCCTGTAGCTACAGGTACAGCTCCCGTAGCTGGCAGCCCTGCATCTATAGCTCCTGCAGCTATAGCTCCTGCAGCTATAGCTCCTGCAGCAGACTTCTGAGACGTCTCAAAAGCCGGCGGCCCTGCAGCTATAGCTCCTGCAGCATCAGCTGCACTCACCTGGGCACCACCAGTTGTCTGATAATTCACTACCTCAATGCACACGCACGGCCCTTCCTCACTCCCCTCACTCTCCCGGCCCTCCCCAGCAACCTCACTCCCGTGCTGCCTCTGCTGCTCCTCCCCATCCTTGCTCTCACTAACTGCCAGCTCATCACTAGTTGCTCTTGACTCTGTCGGCGTTCCAACTGACTTCTCTGATCTGGTAGCATCCACATCATGTATGTACCTCGTCTCACTGAAACTCACAACCGTGCTTCTACCACTAACGGAACTCTCACTAACGGATCTGTCACTAACGGATCTGTCACTAACGGAGCTTGCGTGGGTGACTGTATTAAAGCCGCGGCTGTTGAACCAGCTGCCATTGAACGAGGAGCTGCGCACAAGCATGCTCTCCAGGCGAGTCATGCGCCGCTGCTGCTGCTGCTGCTGCTGCTGCTGCTGCTGCTGTCCCTGGCCGTGGGAGACATCAGCAACAGTGGCAACGGCACCCACAACGTCTGCTCCCGCAACAGTGCTTGCTGCGCGGCTCGCAGTGCTACTGCCCTGGTTATCAGTGCTGCCAGTGCCAGCACCAGGGTTGTTGGTATAATGAGCGTGGTTGGGGGCGGCGGCGTCGTGAACGCGACGAGTGCTCAGGGAGGTGGCTTGCTGGCAGGACAGGAGGAAGATGGTGAGCGGCATCCAAATGGCGGACTGCCATTGGTTTGACACGGGCGTGGGAAGGGGAAAGAAATGGGGGGGGAAGAACACAAAAAGGGTGGAATGAGAGAGGGAACCAGTGAGTCACGTTATACAGAGGATGGTTACAGTCAGAGGCATCAAGTGTAGTAGGGGTGCTGTTCAAAGCAGGGTAAGAGGGGGCAGCGGCGTTGTGCAGGCGGCGAGTGCTGAGGGAGGTGGCTTGCTGGCAGGACAGGAGGAAGATGGTGAGCGGCATCCAAATGGCGGACTGGGATTGGTGGGAAGTGGGTGTGGGAGAGGGGTGGAAGTACAGGAAGGGAGAGGCATCAACCCAGCTGCCTGCATTGATGCGGCCTATAGAGTAGCAAGCTCAGGATTTTGGGGGAAGGTGAGAGATGGAGAGAGGGACGCGTATGGTAAGGCCTATTCCTACGGTACCTGAAACTGAGTGGCTCATGTCATGCGTTCACTATTTACTCTGAGACTATTTTGAATCGACAGAAAACAAATTAGTCCACAAGACTCACCTGCAGCACCACTATCTGCGCCATGAGGTCCCCAGCCTCCTCCCCATACATGACTGACAGCAGTGGTACTCCTGTGAGGTTGGTGGGGGGGGGTTGTGGGGAGAGGGGGACATGCGCGGAGCATGAAGACGGGGTTGCTTGTGTTGTGCTGGGCGTCACACCGTCACACTGTCACACTGCTGCGTGATGCTCAGCTGAGCACCACACCCCGCTGCGCCATGAGGTCCCCAGCCTCCTCCCCGTACATGGCTGACAGCAGTGGTACTCCTGTGAGGGGGGGAGGCGGTACGATGTGGGACATGTGAGGGGCATGTGAGGGGCATGGGGCATGTGTGGGGGATGAGGGCGAGGCGTCTTCTTCCCAGCATGAGCACTGCAGCACCACGATCTGTGCCATGAGGTACCCCGCCTCGTCCCCATACATGTGTGAGAGCAGCGGCACTCCTGTAAGGTGAAGGGACATGTTGGGTGCATGTTGGGGTGATGAGGATGGATGGGATAGCTTGGCTTGTGCCCGCATCAGCACTGCACTGCTGCACAGATGGATGGAGGGGAGGAGTAGGGAGCAGGCGGGGAGCAGGCGTGGGAGCAGGCGTGGGAGCAGGCGTGGGAGCAGGCGTGGGAACAGGCATGGGAACAGGCGTGGGAACAGGCGTGGGAGCAGGCGCGGGAACAGGCGCGGGAGCAGGCACGGGAACAGGCGCAGGAGCAGGCGTGGGAGCAGGCGTGGGAGCAGGCGTGGGAGCAGGCGTGGGAGCAGGCGTGGGAGCAGGCGTGGGAGCAGGCGTGGGAGCAGGCGTGGGAACAGGCATGGGAACAGGCGTGGGAACAGGCGTGGGAGCAGGCGCGGGAACAGGCGCGGGAGCAGGCGCGGGAACAGGCGCAGGAGCAGGCGTGGGAGCAGGCGTGGGAGCAGGCGTGGGAGCAGGCGTGGGAGCAGGCGTGGGAACAGGCATGGGAACAGGCGTGGGAGCAGGCGTGGGAGCAGGCGCGGGAACAGGCGTGGGAGCAGGCGCGGGAACAGGCGCAGGAGCAGGCGAGCAAGGGTAACTGACCGATGATGAGGGTGTTGGGCATGGAGACGAGCATGAAGAGCGAGGCGGACCAGAGGAAGGCTCTGTGCACGGCGAGTTGCTTGGCGGCCACTCGCAGCAGCAGGAACAGCACCACCACTACCAGTACAAACAGCTTGGCTGTGGAGTCGGCGCCCAGGAACTGGAAATTCATCTTGAACATGTCCGTCTTGGCTATGGTCTGGTGGGGGGGCCAAGGGGTGGTGGGGGGTTGAGAACGATGCCAGGGGTGGAATATCAGCGTCAGGAAGAGCAGCACCACCACTACCAGCACGAAGAGCTTAGCTGTGGAGTTGGCGCCCAGGATTTGGAAGTTCATCAAGAACATGTCCGTCTTGGCTATGGTCTGGTGGTGGGTGGGGCGTGGTGTCGGGGATTAGAACGAAGGGGAAATGCCAGGGGTGGGATAAGGAGTGGCAGCAGCAGGAAGAGCACCACCATCACCAGCACGAAGAGCTTCGCTGTGGAGTCGGCTCCTAGAAACTGGAAGTTCATCAAGAACATGTCCGTCTTGGCTATGGTCTGAGGGGTGGGGCCAGGATGGGGTTTTGAGATCAGAGAAAGGTGCATGCGGGAGGGAAGTCGGATGACAGCAGGAAGCACATCACATGGAGCTGCAGGAGAAGGAAGAGATTGGCTTCGGCGAGGGAGCAGAGCAGAGGCCACCACGGGTCCTATGAGAGCCTTCCAGGTGCCACAAAGTCGTCCCATCTCTCGAGAGGAGAGTATGGATGAACGACGGGAGCACGCGCAGACACAGGGAACTCGATGAGGAGTGCGCACCTGGAAGACGAGCGAGGGGAGCGCGATGAAGGCGATGTAACGGTTGATTCCGGCGCACTGGTCGGGCGAGAGGATCTTGAAGACGCGCACTGACAGGAAGCCCGATCCGATGCCCACGTACAGCGGCACGATGGCGCAGAACACGCGGTACACATTTCCGCCGTCGATCATGGCTGCGTGATCAAGGAGATGCAATCGCTACCGTCGATCGCGATGGTAAGGCGCTGGTGAAGGCGGTTACAAATGGCCTCCACGAGACTGGCTAACGATGTAATCTGACTGATGGCTCATCACTGATCACACTTCTCACTGATCATTGATCAGGGTTCACCAATCACCTATCACACTCCTCACGTATCATTGCTCGAGAGTTGAGTTTGCTGGGAGTCTGAAAGATCTACACTGTGATGAACGTGAGTATCTTACAAGCTAACGGATTCGCACCACCTTTACAAGGAAAGCCAAGGATCAGCGACTATATCATGTGAGAGCCCTAAAGCAGGAAACAAGGCGGGAGGCAAGCGAACTGGAATGAGCGGCGTCACACGTGTACCGCATTCAACGACAGAGTCTAATATGCATGGAGCCACGCGATTCCTACAAACTACATCTGATGGGTCAGAAACTATTAGTACATCCGTACATACGTGAAGCCATTGCTGGGCTATGCATTCGCTGCTAAAAGGCAGCGCTTCCTGAAAGTAGTTGCCGTAAAGTCGCAGCGGACCTGCACGACTACTGGACGCGAACATAAATCTTCGTACACGTGGCATGCAATGGCGGATGGTCCGCCATAAATCCCCAGCTAAATGGGAAGGTCCGTGCTGGCCACAGCCCATGGCTTGTGCTTTTAAACCGCCCGCCACTCGTGATTCACTGAATAAACCGCTGGGAGGTTTCGCCAATGAAAACTGGAAGGTTCGCTTCGTCTACAGCTGGATTTCGACAATTCAGCAGGGTTTTGCGGACGTCAGCAGTATGCGTTGGGGAAGGGAGGTTTCAATCCAAGCTCGAGATTTGGAAACCAATGGGTCACAGCTGGTTCAAAACATTTTTTGGGGGTTGTAGAATACTCCTGGCAGTTTTTGTGCGTTTCCTTGCACCGAAGATTTTTCCAGTTCGCCTGAAGGGTTCACACGGTAACACTTGATAATAGAAATTGGTCCAGCGGATTTGCGAGTAAGCTTTAGCTTTTTGTTTCGTAAATGTTCCAGGATGATATTGTGCGACCACTCAAACACTTTCGGAACTCCAGGACGATAGAGCTGACACTTTGTGTGTACATCTTCCCTTGTCGAGGAACACCATCGCGGGAATCAGTTGGCTCGAACCAATACCAGCAGTTCTTGACCTGAAAAGTAAAACGGTCACTGGTGCTCATTGAACCCGCCAACATTTCAAATTTGATTGAACTCCCGCCAGAATCATCAAGGTACAACTAACTCATCGACATTCGCCATTGGGCCTTATGTATTTTCAATTGCAATGCAAATGATCCCAACCGCCAAATCCCAAGGTCTCCCCGCCACGATGTCCCATCACGGAATGTAAAAAACATCAGTTTCCCTCACAACCAGACCCGAGCTTTCTCTGGTGTCATATAAAGACCTCTGAAATGTACTGAAACTCATAAAAAGGCACTGAACCGAGATCGCATCATCATTTCCCATATTTTCGTCACTCCAAGGAAGTGCCGCCTCGGGAAGACAGCTACAAGTGGGGCTCGAAATTCGAATCGAACAAACCTCAGTGAGGAACGATAACCGCGCAACGGCCAGGCGAAGCTCGAACCTCAGGGAACTCCCAAAACCGGGAGCTCGCTCGCTTGACCCTCCTTGCCACCCAGATGTCCTTGTTTTGAGCTAAGAGTTTCTTGGTGATCTTTGATGTGTCCAGGAGGCAGAAGTTAGCAAGTAGTAGTCGCGACGTCAGATGTTTCTCTGCATTCGCTACGAATCCACAGCTCGAAGCCACTACCATTGACAACACTGAGTTGTTCCATTCTGAGATTCCTATCACCGTAGTCGAGTTCTATTCTTCGCGCAAAAAAGAAAACTCTCTGGTGCTGGGAGTATACCAGACCCAGCACGACATGCAACCGTGCGTTGCGCTCAAATCCAGCCACATCCCAACCCATTCCTCCTTAGAACACACTTGTTGATACTTAGTGTCACCGTGCACAAGCCTCTTTGTGCGTAGCAATCGATCGAGCCACCATGTGGAGCCCAGTGGGTAATCTTAGCCCGCTAGGCGGGAGAAAGGAACCGTCTAGCAGAAGAAAAGAAAACCGGACTCCGAAGTCCGGGAAGCGGCTCTTGGCGTGTTTCGGCGGGAGTCTGCCGGTAGAGAATGAAGCGATGGACTTTGGCGGCAGGAAAACCAGCCCCATGGCTGGCGCTCTTCAGCCCAAGTCGACGAACCGGGTGAGTCTTTGTGACACCACTCATTAAAATCCTGCTGATTATGAGTCGAACGCCCTGCAGCCCGACTCGAAGAGATGGGAGAGTATTCGAATTCCCGAAAGCTTTAGAATCACTGGAATTCACTTGATTGCTGTGGAAAGGAGCTGCTATACGATCTGATTCAATGGTGTTTCTTCAGGATTTTATTCAGTCAACCCCCTCACTCATCTCCTTGTCCTCGACCCCACTTTTCCCCACGCTTCCGTTCTTCCTAGCTGGACCTTTTCACGCATGCCCTTTGGACGAGAAGTAGGCCTCTTAATACGTACAGACTTGCTATTCCACTCTAGGACTCACCCATCCTTCTGTGCGTAGTATCTTTATCTGCTGTGTTGTCTACGTTGCGCGTGCTTCGTCTCCCGCGTTGCACAGGATGTTGTTTCTCCGCGTCACAAGTCGCCAATGCGCGGTCGCTGGAACATCGTGAAAGGGGATCGCCATCGCGAACTCTTCGCGAACAACATTAACGACAACGAGCAGGAGCGCAACAACGACTGTTGCCACCTCCCGTCGCCCGAGCACTACTCCCCGCACCACCACTGCTGCGACCACAACGATCCACGACAGCGCCACCACCATCCACGTCATCTCAACTTCGACGACGAAGACGACGAAAACGCCGACCCGATCTGGGGCCTCGGCCCCATGGCTGCAATTCCCGCCGGATCTTCTGTCGCCTCTTGCTGCAGCACGAATGAGAAGGAAGCGCAGGCAGGCTCCTCAGGGGTTAAAAACGACCCAAAAGACGGCCCCGCGGCCGGCGGCGGCGGCGGGAGCAGCAGCGGCTCGGTGGTGTGGGGCCACGTGGAGGAGCTGGCCAATGAGGTGGCAGAACTGAAGAGACGGCTGCAGGAGGAAGAGGAAGAAGGGCGGCGACTGCGCAACGAGGTGAAGCATCTCCGCAGCAGCAACCACGATCTGAAAATCATCCCGCCGCGCTCTCCCCGCGCGGCGGACCCGGTTACGCCGGCGCTCCTCGCGCAGTCCATCCGCGCTTCGTTCATCGAGCCCGCCGCCGACAGTCCGTGCCCAGACGGCGGCAACGGCGGCGGCGGCGGCGGCGGCGCGGGCGGCGCGAACCTCAGAAGATCCGTCTCCCTCGGCCGTGCCGAGGGGGTGTCTGCCTACGCCCGTCACATGGCCGCAGCGTACACGGCGAACAACGGCGAAGGCGAGGGCACCGGAGCGAAGGCGAGTGGTGGTGGTAACCCGGTGTGGGTGAGTGGCGAGCAGTGGGTGCACACTCTCTCCTCTCCGCGTCACAGCATTAACGCCAGTGAATTCGGCGTGTTGCAACTAGGAGACGAAGAAGACGGATTGAGACGCTCCTCAGGAACTCCGCTCTCTCTCCTGCTCTCCCTCTCTCGGCCTCTCTCCGGACCTCTGCCGAACCACTTGCAGTCGGGTCGGGGATCGTCGATTGCTGCTCGAAGCGCGAATGACGGCGCTGCGGGGAATTCCCCTGTCGGGCTTGGGGTCAGCCCGAATGCGAAGCTACGCGCGGGCAACATGATTGTAACGGGGCTGAATGTAACGGACGCGAACGGCGTCGCGAAAACGATCAAGATGGAGCAGCTCGTGACTGCCGAGCCTACGACGCCGAGCCGACCTCCGGTCTACCAGGGTCGGCCGAGCCTGGATAAGAAACGGCCGCCGCCAATCAAGGGCATCCCGCTGCCTTGGGATTCAATGGACGGCGAGGATCTAAAGAGCCAGAGCGGGCTGGGGAATTCGGGGACGGCGGAAGGCGGAGGCGGAGCGGAGATTGCGGGGGAGAAGAGCGTTGGCGGAAGGTCATGGGGAAGCGGAAGATCATGGGGAAGAGTGGGAAGCGTGGGTGGACGTGAGGGGGAAGAGGTGGAGGGGGAAGAGGGGAAAGCGGAGGAAAGCGGAGGCGAGTCCGGGGAGGGAAGCATGGAGGCCAATGCGTCTGATGATGACGAAGGAAGGAGGGACGGAAAGAAAGATAACAATGAGAAGCACGAGAGGCAAGCTGGAAAGAAGGGGAGTGAAGAAGGAGGGGATGGGGAGATAGAACAGCTGATGGCGCTGGTGGAAGCGAGAGAGAAGAGAGAGACAGGCGCAAGGAGATACACCGCCGCGTCCCCGTCCGCCTGTGCAGCCAAAACCGCTGGTACTGCGTCTGGTGATAAGACCAAGACTTCTGTTGCTGCCGCCGCTGCCGCTGGTGCCGCTGGTGCTCTTGCGCGCGCCAGCAGCGCGGGCAGCAGAGGGAAGGCGGCAGGCGCAACAAGGGGGCGCAGCGGAAGTCCAGTGTTGCGGCGGAGCAGCAGTAGCGGAGCAGGTTTTGGCTCTTCTTCCGGCACCAACCGCGCTGCCGCCTCTCCCCGCGCTGCTTCTCCGCGCGCTGCTTCCCCTGGGGGGAACAGCAGCAGAGGTACCGTCCCCCGCACGACCTCCTTCCGCGCGTCTTCTCCTCGCGCTGCTTCCCCTAGTGGCGGAAACAGCGTGACGAGGGGACGACTTTCCAGGAGCGTCTCGGATAAGCACAGGGCTGGTGTAGGCGGTACTCTCGATAGGAACGAGCGTATCGGTGTATTAGGAACGCCAAGATCTCCCCAAACGGCCCGACAGACCTCGACTAGCCCCATGTCCCGGCGTCCGCTGGATTTTCCTTCGGGCAGCCCGGGAAGCTCTGGAACGGCCCTGAGAGGGCGGGCAGGTTCGAATAAATCTGCGGGGTCTGGTTTAGAGAGTCCGGCGGCAGGCGTTGCTGCCAATGAGGATGTGACGCGTGGCAAGAAACACAGTGAGGCGGAGGAGGAAGAGGAGAAGCAGCAGCAAGACGGAGAGCGCGCGGAAGAGGAGGGCTGCGCGGAGAGGGGCGAAAAGACGGAGGAACAGCCAAAGCAAGGGAAGGAAGAGGAGGAGGAGGAAGAGTGCGAGGCGCCGGCGGCGGAGAAGGGGGAGGAGGGGGAGGAGGAGAAGGGCGAGGAGGGAGAGGGGGAGGAAGGGGAGGGGGAGGTTGACGACACGTTCACTGAGCTCCGAGACGACGACGGCCCCTCCGTGCCCCTCGCACGGCAGCGCAGCGACCGCAGTGCCGGCAGCAGCAGCAGCGGCGGCGGCGGCGGAAGGCGGAGCGCTGGAACAGGCGGGGGAGGGGCAGCGGAAGGAGAAGAGGAGGAGAATGAAGAGGGTAATCTACCCATGAGGCGCGCGGAGACGGTGGAGACGGGGGATAATATCTTTGGCGATGATATCGATGAGGAAATTGAGATGGAGGGCGTGAAGGGGGGCGGCGGAGGAGGGGGCGCGTTGCGCCGATCGGCGTCGTTCGGAAGCAGCTGCCGGGCGGCTGCGGGCGGAGGAGGCGGGGAAGGCGGAGAAGGCGGAGAAGAGGGGGCGGATGTGCGGGGATCGCGGGAGTCCCTGTGTCGCAGCGCTAGTCTGGGGGGAAGGCGGAACCCCAGCGCAACGCCTCTCGCCGCTGCGTTGGAGGCATCTCGCGGCCATGCGGCGGAAGGGAAGGGGGAAGGTGAGGGCCCGTCGCTTCAGCGGCAGAACGTGTTGCGGGGGAAGGGTGCGGAAGAGATGGAGAGGGAGAGGCGCGGGGAAGGCATGCTTATGCCGTACAGGATGGAACAGCAACTCCAGCAGCAGCAGCAGCAGGAATGGCAGGCGCAGCAGCAGCGGCAAATTGGGAATGGGCAAGAGAAAGTTGTGACTGACGCTGCCATGGTCAGCAACAGCAGCAGGCTTCGCCGCTCTGTGTCTGCTGACGTGGGTGACGCAATGCTGGTGACTCTAGGCGGCGCCTGTGACTATAATGGAGGTGATACGACTGAGAACAGCAGCAGCAGCCACAGGCGCTTCTACAGCCATGGTGAATTTAACGAGGGCGGCCACAGTCACACCCGCAACAAGCACAAGCATGAGCAGCACGAGCAGCAGCAGCAGCACAGCAAGCAGAGCATGTTCCAGAGGCTGTTTCAGAGGGCTAAAAAGAGCATTACCGGCAGCGGTAACACACGGAATCATCATCATCACCAGCAGCAACAAGAGCTTTCCCTGGGCGCGGGTGCAGGGAAAAAGGGCCCTGCAAGGACTATGTCAGATGGTGCTGTTGGCATTGACGGCTGGCAGAAGCAAAGCGCAGAGCCTTGGGAGAATTTGAGTCAGGGTATGGACGGTGGGGGAGCGGGGCGGGGAAGGGGAAGGAGGGAATGGAACCATGATGGCAGTGCGGTAGAGAACCCCCCAGGAGAGGGGCATAGGAGCGAGGTTTCGTGTGATAGCAGCGGAGGTGGTGGTAAGAGGAAGGAGGTGAGGGAGGGAAGCGAGGACGGAGGTGGGAGAGAAAGAGGGGAAGCGTCAGCGCATGCTAATGTGGGCAGTGCGGGTGCTTCTAGTGCTGCTGCTGCTAGTGCTGCCAGTGCTGCGATAGCTTCTGTTTATGGAGGGCATGGTGGTGGGATTCTGGGAAAGACAGGAAGACCCAAGGAGGGAGGATCTGCGACATCAGCATCAGCAGCAGCGTCAGCGTCAGCAGCAGCAGCAGCGGCAGCAGCGGTGGGCGGAGGGCACCATTCCAACTGGTGGAGTGGCCACAGCAGCCCTCCCCCTCTGCCCATCCCATCCTCCTTCGACCCTGCCACCCTCCTCAAACCCACCAGCCCCACCCTCCGACCCACCAACGGAACCACCTCCCCCATCGGACCCCACAGCAGAGCACCATTCTCCACCCCTGTCAGCCCCTTGGCCAGCCCCAGAACCGCCCCAAAAGCCTTCAACAGCCCTCGAAGAACCGGGAGCAGCGGCAGCCCAGGCAGCAACTGCGGTTCCCCAAACACACCAAACACCCCAGACACTCCCAACACTCCCAACACCTGGCGTGGTGGCAGCAGCGGTGGCAACAACGGCGCACCCTCCTCCTCCTCGCCCAGCAAGATTGATCCAATCATCCGTGCGCTCAACTACGCAGCGGTTACAGGCCGGTTACCACCCGGCATGGCTCTGGACGCTATCTCAGAGGAGAGGTCCAGTGCGCTGCTCTCCTCCGCCATCCCCTCCCCCTGCGCGTCCGTTCATAACTCCCTCCACCTCCTGCCCTCGCTGCCCTCCCCAGGTGCTCCGCATCCCTCGCATCCCACGCGTTCCGCTGTGCATAATACCCCCCTGCAGCGCCCGCCGTCGCCCTCGTCCGCCCGTGGTACCCTTCGTTCCGAAGCAGGCGGGTCTGGGAAAAACGCCCTGCAGATGTCGGGGGAAATGCTTCCCCCTCCGCATGTAGCCATGCCTGGCGCTGCTGCTACTGGTGCTGCTGCCGATGCTGGTTCTGCAGCCGCTGGTGCCGATGCTGGTGGTGATGCTGGTGCTACTGCTCCTCACTCCTCCAATCCAACCACTCCTCGTCTCTCCCCGACCAGAGGGATCGGGTCACGTGGCACCCCCCTCTCCCCTCTCTCCCCGCTCTCCCCCACTCGCCCCTCCCCATCCTCCCCCATGAGCCCCATCTCCCCCGCTACCACCTCCCCCAATCCAATCCCCATCCGCCACGTCATTCAACGGCAGCAGCACCAGCAGCAGCTCAAATCCCCCCGGGCGCAACAGCAGCAGCTGAAATCCCCACGCTCACAGCAGCAGCAGCAGCAGCAGCACAGGAAGCCAGGGCAGCAGCTGCAGGTGAAGGCAGGTCAGAAGGCAGGGCAAGGCAGACCCAGCCAGGTGCTGGTGCAGCGGCCAGGCAGCCTCAAGAGCCCCGCTGCTGCTGCCAAAAGCACAGCCGTGAAGCAGGCGCAGGGGCAGGCGGGGGCGCAGAAAACACTGGGGCAGGGGGCGGTGGCAAAGGCACAAGGTCAAGGCGCGCTGAAGGGGAAGGAGAAGGAGAAGGGGAAAGAGGAGGGGGGGGAAGGGGAGAAGGAGGCAGGGGCACAGGAGCGGTTGCAGGCGCACATGGAGGCACAGATGAAGAAGAGCCCGCACTACCTGCAGCAGCAGTTCTACCAGCAACTCAAGCAACACCAGCTGCAGCAGCAGGCGCTGAGGAGACAGAAACGTGCTGCTGCTGCTGCTGCGTCCGCTGGGAAGAGCAGTGCAGCAGCAGTGCCATCAACGCCGTCAGCAGCAGCAGCAGGGCAGGCCGTGGTGGGGTCAGCAGGAGCACGAGGAGGAGGGTCTCGCCCCACCACCCCCACACGCAACAGTGCTGCTGGCAGTGCTACAGCTGGCTCTGGTGCTGGTGCCAGTGCTGTCTCTGCGGCTGTTGGACAAGCTTTCTTTGTCGGCCCAAGCAAAGGCGCAGATGGGAAAATAGCTCGCCAGAGCTTCCAGCAGCAGCAGCATCATGTGCAGAACAGCAGCACCGGCAATGTTTTAAATAGTAGTATTGCTGGAAATAGCAATCAGCACAATGGTCCAGCCACCAGCACCACCAGTGGCTCCTCCTTGGCTGGTTCGTCCAGTGCTGCAGGCTCGGCGTCCCGAGCAGGCTCGGTAGCCTCCAGGGGAGGTTCGGCAGGTGCTGGTGGCGGGCTGCATGGCATGAACAGCAGCATGGGAGGAGGTGTGGGAACGGTGGGAATGGGAATGGGGGGATTCAGTGCGGTTGGCAACGGTGGGATGCAGGGCAGTGGGGTACACGTCAGCCAGACGAACATGAATGCGGCGACTGCAGCAGCCATTGCAGCGGCGGCTGGGAGCATTGTGAGCGGCACGGGCAGCTCTCAGAGCCGCTCCTGCAGCCGCACCTCCAGCATGCGATCTGAGGTATGTTGGGTGTGCGCGGGGGGAGGGAGGGGCGGGGTGCATTGTGAGAGCATATGAGCAAATTTAGTTATGAGGGTGATTGTACCAGTGAGCGGCACGGGCAGCTCTCAGAGCCGCTCCTGCAGCCGCACCTCCAGCATGCGCTCTGAGGTGCGCTGGTGATTGTGTTGGTGAACGTGCGGGAGGGAAGGGGGAGGACAGGTGCATTTCAACCAATACGAGGGTGATTGTATCGGTGGAAGTGGGGGGGTGGGGGACGTGGTGCAGGGTATGCGGAATAGTAATGTGGAAACAAACGTTAATTTATTTACATTTGTTTGTTCATCGTGTGCGCGTGTGTCCCCTTGTGTTGCAGCAAGACTTGAACTTGTCCAAGCTGAGGAACGGCAGCATATCCTCCAACGAGTCTTGCCTCTCCATGTAAGTCTAGGCTGCATAGCCTCCTGCTTTTGAGCTGAGTGCAATCGAACTGATTGCAAAGTGCCGGTGTTCATGCCGTTCCGAATTTCTGCGTGCTCGCTACACTGCATCACCCGATGTAGTATATCATTGGTTCCATGGTTAAGGCTAGCCTGAGCAGCCATGTGCTTATGTGGATATGCACGTGTGTATGTATGTGCTTGCAGGTCAACACGCCAGCCACGGGGGCGGCCAATGAATGCAGCAGCAGGCAACCAAGCCGGCCCTCCCCTCAGCCAGAGCATGGGCACCAACGTTTACAACCACCATCAGCAGCCAAGCACTGGCAACGTCGGCACATACGCACATCAACCGCCAAGTATGGGCAACAACACGGGCATTCATTTCCAGCAGCAGCATCAGGCCAATCGTAGCCCGTTCTCCACTCCACCCGCAAGCCCCCCTCTCAACCCGACTCGAGGGTTTGGGATAATTGGGTGGACCGCTCAGGATCTTAAAGCCCAAGTCTAGAATGGCAAATTTTCATAAATACTGAAGTTGAAAGAATGTTGGCGAATGTTGGCGAAGGCAAACTTCGCCTAACAAGGGTGGCGAAGGGTGATGAGTTTGTTGCCCATCGGACAGCTTACTGTTTGACTGCTTTCGAGTTCAAGAATCTTGACGACTGCCACATGGGTGGATGCATCTGAACTTCGGAACTGTGTTGTGTGAGTGACTCTCAAGGGTGTTACAAAATGCTTTACAAAATATACAACTTATGTGAAAGCTTGTACATATTTGGTATCAACTCAAAATTGGCATCACCGTGTACCGTAATACTATTTACGTGTGGGTAATTGTAAACGACCTGCACTTTTGTTCATTACGAAACAGTTCCGCGAATCAATACTAGTACCAATAACTGCAACCAAGGACATGACCAATTTTTCCTAAATAAATTTGTCCAATCCACCTCGTCCCAATTACCACTCGTCCGGTTCACAACCACGAAAGGTGAGTGGTGGTGCTGCAGGCACAAATCAGGGACCCAATTTGAGAAAACCCAGGAGTGTGAAACAAGCAAGCGGACACGGGTAGCAAGAAGGAAAGAGGGTGGGGAAGAGAGTGAGTGAGAGGAAGAGAGGAGTGGGGCGGAGAGAGACGCCAAGGGAGAAGAGGACAAGGAAGGGAAGGGGCGAGAGGACAAGGAAGGGGAGGGGTGTGGAATAAGGGCCGAGATCAGAGGGGAGGGGAAAAACGAGTGATGAGAAGAGGAGGGAGAGGAGGGAGGAGATGGCGACGAAGGGGGGGGGGGGGGGGGGAAGAGGAGGATGAGTGTGGGCAGGTGGGGTGAGAGGAGCACGTGTGTTGCTCGCTGCGTCCCCCTGCGCTGCCGTTCCAACTGCCACCAGGGAAGTGGGAAATGAAATGGCGAGGAAGGGGGTTTGGAGCAAAGGGAGGAGGGTGAGGGGAAGCGGAGGGGGGGGGGGGGGGGGGGGGATGGGGCGGGGTGGGGGGGGGGGGGGGGGGGGGTGGGGTGGAGAGGGGTGTCTGGGTGGGTGTATGTGAGAGGGGAAGTGGGGAAGCAGCGTAGAGCGAGAGGTGATGAGAGATTGGAGAGTGTACGAGAGTGGAGAATGAGGTGATTTCTTTGCCACATTAGGCTTGCAGGAAAAGGAGGAGAGGAATGGTGGGAATGAGAACAGAGGAAAGGAGAAAAGCGGGCAGAAACGGAAGGGTGGAAATCATAAGCGAGCGAAAGGAGGAGAAGGGCTGTAGGTGCAAGGGAATGGGTGAAACGGTGAGTGGGAGGGGAAGTGGGGAAGCAGCGCGGAGGGAAGGGGCAGCAGCGCGTGTGAGAGTGGGGAGAAGCGCGTACGGAAGGGGCAGCAGCGCGTGTGAGAGTGGGGAGAAGCGCGTACGGGAGAGGGAGGGGAGGGTGATGGGATGAAAGAGCGGGTGGAGATGGGCAGAAATGGGATAAGGAAGACGGAGAAACATGAGGGAAGGACAAGGAGATAGTGAGGGAGGGACTAGGGGAAAAAAGGAGGGCAGGACAAGGGAGACGGGAAGAGGTGGCGTGCATGGGGTGAGGCGCGTGGCAGGAGGATGGGGTGGAATGGGGGGGTGCAGAGGGGCGGGAAGGCAGGGAGGCCCTTGCAGCGGATAACCCTTACCTGCACATCTGGGGCCGCCCACCCCACCCGGGACCGCCCACCCCACCCGGGAGTGCCCACCCCATGGCACCCACCCCACCCCATGGCACAACCCTGAGGAGGCGTGGGAGAGGCATCGCGGGAATGCTACTGCTGCTCCACCCACTCCCCATGCCACTGCTGCTGCCGTTCCCTCCTGCCACACCTCCACCGCCACTACTGCCAGCAAAGAGGTCGATCAGCGCCGACCTGGTAGCGGGGTGGTGAGGGGGGAGGGCAGGACGGTGAGAGTGGAGGCAGGACGGTGATCAGGGAAGTTGAGGCGCACCTGCATGCAGCGAGCAAAGCCCCCGCTCCAGCACTGCTCTGCTTCCTGCACTTGGAGAGGGGCTGAGGGGGAAAGGAGGAGAGGGGCTGAGAGGGAAAGGAGGAGAGGGGCTGAGGGAGAAAGGAGGAGAGGGGCTGAGAGGGAAAGGAGGAGAGGGGCTGAGAGGGAAAGGAGAAGGCGGATTCTGGAGCGTCTACCACACCACCATGCTGCTCGCCAGCTCAGATAGCGACAACTCGGCGGCTGCCTTGGCAACGGCCTGCGAGCGCGCTCTTGCTCCCTTCCGTTTTTCCCATTGTCTCACCCTCCCTTTTCCCCGTGTCCTTCCTCGGCAGCGCTCTGCGAGCGCGAGCGCAAGGGCTTCCGCCGCTGCTGCGCGCGTATTCCCTGCGTGCATATTAGGTCGTCCGCCAGCATAGTGGCGCAGGCGGAAGCGTGGGTGGCGGAAGACGCGGAGAAGCGCAACGAGGAACCGATGGCAGAGCCATTGAACTGAAAGGATGCGGTCCAGGCAGGGAGTGCGACGGGGGGAGTGCGCGACGAATCGAGTGAGCGATGCGAATGAGGGACGGATGACGAGCGGCGGAGAGGGAAGGGAGGCACGGGAGGGACACGCGCTACGGCAGGAGCGAATGCGGGACGGAAGCGAAGCGCGCGACGGAAGGGACGGAGGGTGCTGGGCGACGGCATGGACGGGGGAGACTGGAGGAAGGACGGAAGACACGACCGGGACGGGAGTGACGGGCGCGGCGACTAGGACAGACGCGACGAGGGCGACGGTGGGAGCGGGTACGACGAGAGCAACTAGCGAGACGGGACCTACGAGTGCGATTTGGAGAAGCGGGTGCGGCGGGTACGACGTATTAGATGGTGTATGAGATATATTTGCGCGTACCGTGAGAGATCGGATGAAATGGGCGTTACGTGAGGGACGGTGGAGACCTAAACTATGCAAACGGACAGAAGTCCCATTACAAAATCCTGGGTGCTCGGCGTAGTTATCGGTAGCTAACGATATTGTGGGCTACGGAGCCTACTACTCAACGAGTCTAGAAAGGTAGCTTGAAGCTTCAAGTTTCCGGAAGTGTGAACAGTGAGTGGCCCCGGTTCTTGTTTGTTCTGGCGAGTGTCTAGAGTGGTTTTGCTGTTGTGCTTTTGGCCAATCATTTTACTGCGCTCCAAACACCTTCACAGTGGATCGCGAGAGAGCCCCACACAAAAGCGGGTTACCTTGTTCACTGACGAAATCATGTTCAAGAATCTTGAACTTGAACACTTGCCATTCTAGACTCGGGCTTTAAAACCGGGGTGCACATTAGATGAATGTGCATCAAAGGTTATCCCTTGACTGAGTGGGTTACGAGGTGTGCTTTCAACCCCTTCAAGTCGAAATTCGTTTCCCCCCTCCCCCGCAATTTCGTTTCCCCACGCCCCCGCAATTTCATTTCCCCCTCCCCGTCGAAATTCGTTTCCCCCCTCCCCCGCAATTTTGTTTCCCCCCTCCCCCGCGATTTCGTTTCCCCCCCTCCCGCCAATCTGTTTCATCCATTCGGTTTCACCCACTCCCGCCATTTCACCCCCTCCCGCCACCTACGAAATGCCCGAAGCTCTAGCAGAATCAATTTTTTGTCGCCCCTCGTGAGCCAATCACTGTTTTTCTCCAAACCCCCTTCCCAACATCTCAAGCCGAACCGCGTTGAATGTGCACCCTGGTTGTAATAAGATGGGGAGGCATTAGGTGTGATTTTTGCGTTATCGATGTACAACCCTGCAAGGTTAGGATTGACATGCTCTCTCATTTACTGACAGTGTTAATTGATTGACATGATTGAGTGTCCAAGCATCTCTGCTCAAAGTGTATCTGATGCATGCTAACAAAGTGACGGTCAATTCACTCTACGCGTAAATTGGACACCTGCGCTTCGTTCTGTTGCTTCAACTCTCCGTTACTGTGGATGAACTTCGCCTGTTGAATCCGCGACTGCACAGCCGCATCGCAGCAATCCCCCCCACCACGAAAGCAGAACGAGGTTGGCTGACTGCGTGTTCTGCGACAGTACGACCGAGATGGTAACACCCACATCCGTCGCAGAGACCTACATGATTCGATGTGAGCCCAATCTTGGCGATTGACAAAGCAGTTTGACTGCCAATTCGCTGCCGAAATTCATCCGATCGCTTCGCACAATGCAGCTGCACTTTGGTCGTTAGCGAAAGGCGAGGGGTCAGGTGGGAGAGTGTGGTAACCACAGGGTCAAACAGGGCCGTCTTTCAGCCAATCTTGATCAGTAGGTTCATGATAATTAGGTGACGACGCAAGATTGTCAGTTGACTTATCTTAGGATGCTCCTGCATTAGTAGGTAGCGGCAGCGCATTGATTTGATTGGCTGCCTTTGTGAACCGCGCCTACTTTTAGATTCGTTCATCGCGACCTCATCAAATTCGTCGTTTTCGCGTTGCTCTGAAGTCAATCGTGGTCGGACAGGAGGCACATCGGCCGCGTCGCGATCGCACAAGCGATTTCAGCAACCAGCACGATTGCTTTGAATTTCCAAGTGCCTAGACGATCCAGGTGTTTCTCTAACAAACATTGCAACTTATTGTCTACCAATCATGCTTCTCCGTTAACCAACTTCATCTGTCCGTCCATCACAATGGACGGCTTCGGTTGACTCCCCTCACGAATCCTCCGTCACGATGGACGGCCGGATTTAACGCTCTTCAAGATCCAACGGCAGCGATGGACGGCCGGCCGAGCGTGAAGCTACACTACCATCAGCAGCACCGCCGCCAGTCCCCCCACGTAGATCATCCGTTGCATAGCCCTAGTAAGACCCGCCCCAGACGCTACCTCCCCCGGATGTGCCTGTTCCTCTCCTCCGCGCTCTCCTCGAGCCGCCTTCTTCTGTTCCTCGCGGTCGGCGTCGCGTGTGTGTTTCTGTACTCCGTGCTCGACATAAGATTAGATGGCGGCGCGACCGGGAACGGGGAAGGAGGTTCAGGTTTTGGTTCGGCAGCTGGAGAATTCTCCATTAGGTTCGGCAGCAGCCGCGGAAGCAGTGGAAGCGTGGGGGGATCCGCGGAGGAATCGGCGGGAAAGGCTTTTTGGGGGGATTCGAGTCGAGCCGCGGCGGCAATCGACGATCTGCTCGTTGCGGCAATGCGCAAATCACGCTGGCGGGATTTGGGAGAATCCGCGGAGCAGCTGCTGTGGTCTTCCCCCGATCAGGGGATCAGGGGAAGCCTGATCGGTGGCGGGAAGGGCGGAGGCGGAGCGGGGAGCGCGGGGAGCAGCAGCGGGGGAGAGAGCCTGGCGGAACGGCGGAGGCTGATGCGGTTGGGGTATGATGGGGGAGAAGGGGTGGTAGCGGGGGAGGATGGCGGAAAACTGGACCAATCAGGAGCCGCCAGCGCGAGAACCTTGCCCGCGTCTCTGATTGGCTCCGGGAACCAGGGCTTACAGGGGAATGCTGACGTGGACCGTGCTCTAAACGAGCGGCTGGCTCGCGATGTGACTATAGTGATCAGCGCAAAGCACTCTTTCGGAACAGCAGCCGCGCAGCTGGACGCAATTCTTGCGACCACTCCCCCCTGCCCCGTGATCTACATGATCCCCGGCGCAATGGACGCGCGCACGCGCGCGCACGTCAGGCGCAGGCAAGCGGAGGGCGCACGTGGGATGTGGGGTGGCTGGGGCGGCGGAGGGGGAGGTGCAGGCGTGGGGGGAACAGCGGGCGGCGGATTAGGGTTTGCAGATCCTGAACTGGTTTGGGGGGATGGTGGCGGAGGGAATAGGCGGAGGCGGAAGGGCAGGGGGAAGGGGCGGGGGAAGGGGGAGGAAGTTGAGGGAGGGCGGAGAATACTAGTCAAGGAAATGGAGGATGAATATGCAAGTGGGTACCTAATGCGAAACGCATCGTCTGAGTTAATCCGCACTAAGTACGCGCTCTTTGTGTTCTCTGACGTGTTCCCGTATCGACCCAACTGGCTGCAGCATCTGTTCAGATTCGCTGAGAAGCATCCTGAAGGGGTGATTTTCCTGCCGTTTATTTGGGAGTGGGGGGGGGATGCGGGGGGCGGGGGGGCGAAGCTCAGGGCAGGGGGGCTCAGCAGAGGGGCGGGCGCAGAGGGAGGGGCGGGGGGAAGGGGGAGAGGGGCAGTGACGTATGGTGGTGCGACGAATCTGCGTGGTAGGCTCGGTGCCGGTGCTACTGCAGGTGCGGTCACTGGTGCTGCCGCTGCTGGTGTGGCTGCTGGTGCTGCTGCTAGTGGTGGTGGTGGTGCTGGGGGGAGCAGCATGGGCAGTGGATCAGTGGCGAAGCAAGAGGGCCTTAAAGCCCATGCAGCATTCGCCTCAGACATGCTATTTGATGACTATAGCAACGACGGGAAGCTCTACCCTCAGCCAATAGAAGACGTCCACGTGGCAGGCACCAGGGATCCGAGCCTGCTGGACCCTCGGGAATCTCCGGTAGGCGTGGAGGACCCTCGGGAATCTCCGGTATTTTAACTACAAGTCTTACTTAGTGCCGCAGTCTATAGTAGTGTACCACCACCCGTCTTCCAGCGTGGGAGCGCGGGATTTGATCTACTTTGCGCGGCAGAGCGGCGCTGACGTGTGTTCAGCCAATCAGGTGTTTCTGCGGCACAAGTGGGGGATTATAACGGGGCAGCAGTGTAGAGGGTTCGTGGACGCCACTTTAAGGGGCCACGTGTGGACAACAGAGGGCCAGGAGGGGGATGGCGAAGGGTGGGAGGTGAACGGTGTAGGTGCTTCAGGTATTGCTGCTGCTGGTGCTGGTGGTGGTGGTGGTGGTGGTGGGGAGGAGGGTAGTGAAGGGAAAGGGGGAGTCGAGGCAGGTGGAAAGGGTGCTAGCCTTTACAGCAGCACCAGCAGCAGCAGCAGCGCCACTCCTACCGCCCGTTTTCTCATTCCCAAGAGCCAATCAGAGCAGGCTCAGCTCGTGCTCGCCTTCTTCTCATTGGTCGGTTTCAACCGCTTCCAGATGCGCAATCTGCCAGCCTGGCAACCTCTGCCGCCCGCGCCGCCCGCCGTCTGCCACGTCAGGGACAGGACGCTGTGTCAGATCCCGATTCCCTGGATGGCTGTTGCCGCCCGGTTCATTCCGTTTGTGGACCGACTGGCAACGCTGCCAGATGCTTTGGCAGAAAATGCCAAAACTGTCGCCTCCGCCGCCGCTGCCGCTGCTACTGCTACCGGTGGTGCTGGTGGTGGTGGGAAGGGAGTGGTTCTATCTAGCACTGGGAATGGTAGTACTGGTGGTGCTGCCGAGGCTGAGGTTCGGGGAGAGCCGGAGCTGTGGTTCGGCCGAGCCGAGGAGTACCCGAGCCTGCGGGTGAATCGGGTGGAGGATCTCTGGCGGGCGGCATCGCTACGGGACGGACAACTGTTCATGATTCGGCACGGAGTGGTCAAGCACGGCGAGAAGCATCCAGGAAGGCGCGCACCGGAATTACCCTTTTTAATGAGGCTATACCATCCGTTTCTGCTGGTGGAATTGGAAATGCAGGTGTTTTCTGGTGCAGGTGGGGAGGGGTTGGGTGGTGGTGGGGGGAAGGGGGAGGAGGAGAACGGGTGGTGGATGGAGGGGAGTGAGGGAGGGGTGGAGGAAGGAACGGGGTTGAGAGGGGGGCGGGACAGGAGTAAGAGGACGGGAGGGGCGGGGAAAACGGTGTTGGAATCGAGTCTGTTTGATGGGTTGTCTGTGGTTGTGGAGGAAAAATGCTTCTTCCCACCTTTGGACTCTTCCTCTTCCGCTTCCGCTTCGGCTTCGGCTTCGGCTTCTAACCTCTCTTCCTCCTCCAATTCCTCCTCCTCCTCCTCGTTGTCTTCAACTGCCAAGAAAAACAGCACCAGTGCAACCCAACCAAAAGGCACACTACTAACGCCCTTCACACTCTCCTCCTCATCCTCCGCCACCGAACCTCCTCCCCGCCCCTGCGTCCGTTCGGTCCGGTACTTCCGAGCCTGGATGTACGTTCGGCACACCGACCCGGATCACACAGCCCTCCACATGTTCGATCGCTTCCGCCGCTCGCTCCGCCGATCCCTCCCCTCCTCCCCCTCCGCTTGGATCAACACCACGCGCATGCACTGGCTGTCGCCGCGGTTACGGAACGTGGTAACGCGGTTACGCGTGGTGCGGTGTGTGCCGAGCATTTCGGACGGGTGCGAGATGGGGTGGCGGGTCGGGGCCGTGCCCGACGCGTGGCGGCTGCTGCTGTGGGCGTGGCGGCCGCAGAGTGTGAGGACGGCTCAAGTCCTGCTGATGAATGCCGATACTCCTGCCGTGGGTGAGTGAGTGAGCCTGGTGCTCCCCAAGTTACTGGTAGCCCTTGGATTGAGTAGTGCTACATGGGGTTGCAAGGACGCGTGGCGGCTGCTGCTGTGGGCGTGGCGACCGCAGAGTGTGAGGATGGCTCAAGTCCTGCTGATGAACGCAGATACTCCTGCCGTGGGTGAGTGAGTGAGCCTAGTTCTCCCCAGGTTACCGGTAGCAATTGGATTCGTTAAGTGCTAGATGTGCCGGATGCATGGCGGCTGCTGCTGTGGGCGTGGCAGCAGCAAAGCGCGAGGACAGCCCAAGTGCTGCTCATGAGTTTAGGCTTTTGCAAAAGTTGCAAATTCTCAAGAGCACGGTACCATAACCCTCTCTGCCCTTTTTCCCTTCCCACTCCTGCCTTCCTCGGCCCGGCAGATGATTTCTCTGCCATTTCAACTGCATGTTAGAGTCACTTTTAAGAATTCCGTCACTTTTCCTCAAGGGTAACCCTCTCTGTCCTCCCCCCTTCCCACTCCTGCCTGCCTCGGCCCGGCAGATGATTTCTCTGCGAAAGCCGCATGGACGTGATTTGGATGGCATGGGATGAGACTCTGAAACAGTTCAGACTTGTGAAAGTCGCCTCTGGAAATATAGCAGTCGAGCACTGTGCCATTCCCGTACCGAGATCAGGTTACTGTATATCCATTCAGTGTACCGTAGTTCTCTTCAATATGGTACGGTATTATTGGTATGGTTCTCTTCAATATGCCATTATGACATTTATTGCTAGAGCGACAATAGCCATCTTAGTTCTCTTCAATATGGTACTGGAAGCCATTATGACATGTTGCTAGAGCGACAATAGCCATCTTATAATTCTTGACACATTTCCTGCCTGTACTGCTGACAGCCTTGATATGCTAAGGTGAAATAGCGGACGATAAAGCGACTGTACTCCGTGAGTGTTACAAGTCAGGTGATTTCTCATATTGCATCAAGTGCCAAACGGCAAGAGCAACCATCCATGTAAGGAAAAAGAGGCCCACTATAACGAATCCAAGAATGTTGAGATCCATTCCCGCTATTGAGTCCCATGGCTGTCCCTCCCATCCTGCCTTCTCAATCACCAGCTGCCATCATGGATGGAGCGAGGGTACAAGGAAAGAGGAAGAGAGGAGAAAAAGGGGTACTGAGCAGAAGTTGAAGGAGAGTAGGAGGGATTGGGAATTGAGTTGGAGGAAGGATGGGAGGAAGGACAAGAGCAACAAGGGAAGGAGAGGAGCAAGGAGAGCAGGAAATGGAGCAATTAGAGAAGGACGACACGAAGAGAAAGATGAGGATGAAAGACAAGAGGAAGGGGTAAGGGATGAAGCCAGCCCCTTTATAAGCAGTGCCACCGAGACTCATTGCTGTTGTTCCAAAGTACAGTCAGCTCAAGCTTACCTGCAGAAGCTCTATTACCCCTATAAGCAGCGCCACCATAACAGACAAGCCCGTGATGACAATATTGAAGAAGAGCTTTCTCAAAGGAAAGGAGAAGGCCCAGCTGTATGCAAAGTTCATGAATGATCCGTCTATGGTGTCTAGTAGGGTCATGCCTGGGAGGGGAGGAGAGGAGGAAGGGGAGAGGTGGGGAGAGGTAATGCACGGTTCAGAACATGCGGGATGGAGAAGGCCCAGCCCAGCTATAGGCGAAGTTGATGAATGAACTGTCTATGGTGTCCAGTAGGGTCATGGTATCCAGTACGGTCATGCCTGCCGAAAGGAGGAGAGGAGGAGGGAGGTGGTGCGGGAGGAAGGGAAAGGGTATGCATGGGTCAGAATGCATGGGTCAGTATGCATGGTCAGTATGCAGTATGCATGGGTCAGTATGCAAGGGTCAGTATGCAAGGGTCAGTCTGCATGGGTCAGTACGCATGGGTCAGTATGCATGGGTCAGTATGCATGGGTCAGTATGCAAGGGTCAGTATGCAAGGGTCAGTCTGCATGGGTCAGTACGCATGGGTCAGTATGCATGGGTCAGTATGCATGGGTCAGTATGCAAGGGTCAGTATGCATGGGTCAGTATGCAAGGGTCAGTATGCATGGGTCAGTCTGCATGGGTCAGTATGCATGGGTCAGTATGTGCGGGAATGAGAAGGCCCAGCTGTGGGCGAAGTTGATGAATGATCCATCTATGGTGTCTAGTAGGGTCATGGTGTCCAGTAGGGTCATGGTGTCCAGTAGGGTCATGGTGTCCAGTAGGGTCATGGTGTCCAGTAGGGTCATGGTGTCCAGTAGGGTCATGGTGTCCAGTAGGGTCATGGTGTCCAGTAGGGTCATGGTGTCCAGTAGGGTCATGGTGTCCAGTAGGGGTCATGGTGTCCAGTAGGGTCATGGTGTCCAGTAGGGTCATGGTGTCCAGTAGGGTCATGGTGTCCAGTAGGGTCATGGTGTCCAGTAGGGTCATGGTGTCCAGTAGGGTCATGGTGTCCAGTAGGGTCATGGTGTCCAGTAGGGTCATGGTGTTCAGTAGGGTCATGGTGTTCAGTAGGGTCATGGTGTTCGGTAGGGTCACGGTGTTCGGTAGGGTCATGGTGTTCAGTAGGGTCATGGTGTTCAGGTAGGGTCATGGTGTCCAGTAGGGTCATGGTGTTCAGTAGGGTCATGGTGTTCAGTAGGGTCATGGTGTTCAGTAGGGTCATGGTGTTCAGTAGGGTCATGGTGTTCAGTAGGGTCATGGTGTTCAGTAGGGTCATGGTGTTCAGTAGGGTCATGGTGTTCAGTAGGGTCATGGTGTTCAGTAGGGTCATGGTGTTCAGTAGGGTCATGGTGTTCAGTAGGGTCATGGTGTTCAGTAGGGTCATGGTGTTCAGTAGGGTCATGGTGTTCAGTAGGGTCATGGTGTTCAGTAGGGTCATGGTGTTCAGTAGGGTCATGGCGTTCAGTAGGGTCATGGCGTTCAGTAGGGTCATGGTGTTCAGTAGGGTCATGGTGTTCAGTAGGGTCATGGTGTTCAGTAGGGTCATGGTGTTCAGTAGGGTCATGGTGTTCAGTAGGGTCATGGTGTTCAGTAGGGTCATGGTGTTCAGTAGGGTCATGGTGTTCAGTAGGGTCATGGTGTTCAGTAGGGTCATGGTGTTCAGTAGGGTCATGGTGTTCAGTAGGGTCATGGCGTTCAGTAGGGTCATGGTGTTCAGTAGGGTCATGGTGTTCAGTAGGGTCATGGTGTTCAGTAGGGTCATGGTGTTCAGTAGGGTCATGGTGTTCAGTAGGGTCATGGTGTTCAGTAGGGTCATGGTGTTCAGTAGGGTCATGGTGTTCAGTAGGGTCATGGTGTTCAGAAGGGTCATGGTGTTCAGTAGGGTCATGGTGTTCAGTAGGGTCATGCCTGCAGGGGAGGGGATGCGGAGGAGTGTGGAGGGGTGGGAGGTGGATAACGCAGAGGCGAATATTCGTAGGCGGCACCAGTTCCAAGCTCATGAATGAATGACCCATCCACGCCCACAGCACACCTTGTAGGTACCCAACTACGACGAGGTCTACAGGCGTACCAGCAGCGAATATGACCAGAGGATGGCGAACCAGGGGAGACCGGAGGAGACGGCACCAGCAGCCATGAAGAGCAGAGCGACCTCCGTGGCCGTGTGATGAAGGCAGGGCAGTGGGGGGGATACAGACAAACAAGGCAGGGCAGTGGGGGGGATACAGACAAACAAGGCAGGGCAGTGGGGGGGATACAGACAAACAAGGCAGGGCAGTGGGATAGAGCCCACAGGCAGGGCAGGGCAGGCGCGTACCAGCAGCGAAGATGACCGGAAGGCAGAGGATCGCGAACCAGGGCAGGCCGGAGGAAGCAGCACCAGCAGCCATGAAGAGCAGAGCGACCTCCGTGGCCGTGTCAAAGCCAAGCCCAAAGAGGAACCCCAACAGGTACATCTGGGGCGGGTGCTTTATCAGCGCTGCGATGCGGCCCAGGCAGCGGCCGAACATCCCCCCCTGTAGTGTCAAGTCCTCTAAGTCTGCTTCTCTAGCCGTGCCATTCCGTGTTGCACGGAACACCTGGAGGCGTGGAGAGCGGCCGGGAGTGGTGGAGAGGGGTGGAGAGGGGTGGGGAGGGGTGGGCCATGGTCGTGTCAAAGCCGAGCCCAAAGAGGAACCCCAACAGGTACATCTGGGGTGAGTGCTTTATGAACGCTGCGATGCGGCCCAAGCACCGCCCAAACATCCCCCCCTGGAGTGCCAGGTCTGCTAGGTCTTCCTCTCTACCTGTGCCCTTGCGCATGGCACGGAAAACCTGGAGGCGTGGAGAGCGGTGGAGAGGGGTGGGAGGGAAGGAGGCCGTGGCTGTGTCAAAGCCGAGCCCAAAGAGGAACCCCAGCAGGAGCAGGTACATCTGGGGCGGGCTTTATGAGCGCTGCGATTCGGCCTTGACAGCGGCCAAACATCCCCCCCTGCAATGCCAGGTCCTCTAGGTCTGTGTCTCTCGCTGTTCCCTTGCGTGTTGCACGGAAAACTTGGAGGCGTGGAGAGCGGTGGAGAGGGGTGGGGAGGGATGGAGAGGGAAGTGAAGGGGTGATGATGCAGGAACCCCAGCAGGCACATCTGGGGCGGGTGCTTTATCAGCGCTGCTACCCGCCCCAGGCAGCGGCCGAACAGCCCCCCCTGCAGGGCTAGGTCCGCTAGGTCTGTGTCTCTCGCTGTGCCCTTGCACATTGCACGGAACACCTGCATGGAGAGCGGCGGGAAGCGGTGGAGAGTGGTGGTAAGGGGTGAGGATGGGTGGGGAGGAAGTGAAAGGGTGATGATGAGCCAGGTAGAATGGTCTCCTTCTTGCCACCCACCCCAGGTAGCGTCCGAACATCCCCCCCTGCAGGGCTAGGTCCGATAGGTCTGTGTCTTTCGCTGTGCCCTTGCGCATCGCACGGAAAACCTGGAGGCGTGGAGAGCGGTGGACAGGGGTTGGGAGGGGTCGAATGGGGTGAAGAGGGGTTAAAGAGGCGCACTAAAATGAGGCGGTTTGTGACAAAAAGCACCAGGACGAGGGTTAAAAATAAGATATGGTGAGCTAATTACCTCTAGGTGCGCACCTTAACGAGGTGAATTAAAACGAGGAGGTTGATGGCGCCTATAAGCAGCAGGAAGATGCTGGAGACAAGCGCACCCACAAGGCCGAGAATCACATGCAGCTGCGACTCCTCCGATTCCACCTGGTGGGTGTAGATGTGGTACACATACATAAATATACATTTGTACTGTACATATGTCCATATAAATTATGAATGAAATATACTATAATAAAACGAGGATGGTCATATAGTTGGTCCGGGACTCGGTTGTATACCTCTCCAGCAAAGGCCTTAAAGCCCACGGCAATGGCGAGGGCAGCAAGACAACCTTTTGAGGCGCCTCAAAAGTCAAAACCACATCAATTACCTCTCCCGCAAAGGCCAAGCCTGCTGCTATGATGAGGACAGCGAGAAAAACCACATACAATCTTTCACCTGTCCCGCAAAGGCCTTAAAGCCCACTGCAATGATGAGCGCAGTGAGGAAGACCACGGAGGAGTGGCCGAGGGCGAACCAGAACCCCACTAGAAGGCCTTAAAGCCCGATGTTTACCTCTCCTGGGAAGGCCTTAAAGCCCACTGCAATGATGAGCGCAGCGAGGAAGACCACGGAGGAGTGGCCGAGGGCGAACCAGAACCCCACTACAAGGCCTTAAAGCCCGATGTTTACCTCTCCTGGGAAGGCCTTAAAGCCCACTGCAATGATGAGCGCAGCGAGGAAGACCACGGAGGAGTGGCCGAGGGCGAACCAGAACCCCACTACAAGGCCTTAAAGCCCGATGTTTACCTCTCCTGGGAAGGCCTTAAAGCCCACTGCAATGATGAGCGCAGCGAGGAAGACCACGGAGGAGTGGCCGAGGGCGAACCAGAACCCCACTACAAGGCCTTAAAGCCCGATGTTTACCTCTCCTGGGAAGGCCTTAAAGCCCACTGCAATGATGAGCGCAGCGAGGAAGACCACGGAGGAGTGGCCGAGGGCGAACCAGAACCCCACTACAAGGCCTTAAAGCCCGATGTTTACCTCTCCTGGGAAGGCCTTAAAGCCCACTGCAATGATGAGCGCAGCGAGGAAGACCACGGAGGAGTGGCCGAGGGCAAACCAGAACCCCACCGTCAGCGTCCTCCTCCCCTCTGCTAGGAACTTGCGCGTCGTGTTGTCAATTGCTGATTGGCAAGGCAGGGGACAAGGGAGAGAGGGGCAAGGGGGGGGGGAGGGGAGGAGGGGAGGAGGAAGGGGGTTGACAGGGGGCGGAAGAGGGGTAAAAAAAGGAGTGGCCGAGCGCGAACCAGAACCCCACTGTCAGCGTCCTCCTCCCCTCCGCTAGGAACTTGCGCGTCGTGTTGTCGATTGCTGATTGGCAAGGCAGGGGGACGGGGCAGAGAGGGGCAGGGAGGGGAAGAGGTGGAAGAAGGGTGGGCGGGGAGAGACGGAGGTGGGGGAGGAGGGGAGGGGGTGGAAGAAGGGTGGGCGGGGGGAGAAGGAGGAGGAGAAGGCAAAGCCAGAGAACACTGACAGAGTCCTCCTCTCTTCCCCACTACGTTGGAGTTTTTTTTAAGATTTTCAAAAGCACCTGCACTCCCCACTCACACACCCCCCACCCCCATCCTTTTTCCATTTCGCCCACATTTCGCCCCTCTCTCAGCCTCCCGTGTGTCCGATCCCAATCACTCCCATCTCAGACCAAAGTTGCATTCGAATGGCATTGCTTTGACCGCATTCTCCTTTCTTCCTGCAATGCCGCTCCTACCCGCCTTGCCCTTGGTACGCACAATGCCGCGTTGCCCTTGGTACGCACAATGCCGCTCCTCCCTACCTGCAATGTTGCTCGTACATGCCGCACAATGCCGCGTTGCCCTTGGTACGCACAATGCCGCTCCTCCCTACCTGCAATGTTGCTCGTACATGCCGCACAATGCCGCGTTGCCCTTGGTACGCACAATGCCGCCCCTCCCTACCTGCAATGTTGCCCGTACATGCCGCACAATGCCGCGTTGCCCTTGGTACGCACAATGCCGCTCCTCCCTACCTGCAATGTTGCCCGTACATGCCGCACAATGCCGCGTTGCCCTTGGTACGCACGATGCCGCCCCTCCCTACCTGCAATGTGGTTGGCGTCGAACGCATGCAGCATCCCCAGCATGAACGCCGTCCCCAGCATCCCCAACCAACATGAGGCGATTCTCCAGTCGACTGAAGAATCACCTTTGGTTCCCACCTCCAATTTCGTTCGCTCCTATGATTTGTTCCCGTAATGTCCTTCGTACATACCTGCAATGTGATCGGCGTCGAACGCGTGCCGCATGCCCAGCATATACGCCGTCACTCCCAGACCCACGCCTAACGTGCCGCCCCCGCCCGGCAAGGTGTAATGCCCGGGCACCACAAACACGACCAGCGTGCCCCAGCCAATCACGTGCAGCGCGCAGATCGCGGCGGCGAGGCATCCGACGGTGATCCATTCGCGCGGGGTGAGCGCGCCTCGGACCTTGACCAGCCAGCTAGGCTTGGTAAGCAGCGGCGCGGAGGCTCCTATGGAAGCTTCGGTAAACGGCGGTTCGGCGGAAGAAGAAGCTTCTAAATCAGCAGAGGCGGCGCGGCACGAGTTATACGCGGCGGTTGGATTGCCCACCAATAGATTGCATGCGTTCGAAGTCTGACTTGAGTCAAAAGCCATTGACGGATTGTCGAGTACTTGATTGCACGAATCGGAATCTCGACACACGTGATACTTCTGATAAAAAACTTCTGATCCTTCCTGAGAATTTTCTATGAGTTGATTAGCCGGGAAGTTTTGGACGGTTGCATGTCATGGCTGGGCACTTGAAGAGGCACCTGATGAAACACCTGAAGGAACACCAGATCGAGCTGAAGTGCTGTGACCGTGAGCAGCTTGTACACTTGGATCGTCAGTTTCGCCGAGCATTACGAATGCAGCTGATGTGACAACAGAGGGCGCCACTGCACGAACTAGAGGGAGCCAATGGATCTCGTAAAGCCGTAAGATGCCTGTCGATCAGTTCATGCAGTCCAAGTTAGGACGCCTCGCACTACTATCTTTGGCGCCGTTCCTACCCTTCTGGAGCGACATGGTGGTGATAATTGTTGGCGAAACTTTTGGAACTGCGACAATCCGTTCGCACGCACTAAATTTTTAGGGTTGATGCCTCCGAATGGCATGCCTTCCGACCGAGTGGGTTTTAGTTTGTTTTGCCCGCGGTCAGCATGCCAGCTCATTCCTCCAACACCTTTCCTCAAACACGGGGAGTTGGAGGATTCGTCAAGTCGTCAATGGGTCGTCAGGCTTGATGACCCATTTCTGCTGGGATATTCCTCCAGCATCCGGATGGACTGACGCTGGCAGTCGAATGAACCTTTCACAACTATTGGAGGGGGGGTACGGACGTGGCTTATGCCATATGTGCGGCTCGCTATTGGTCAATATGCTGGTACTGACCTGGCTGCCACGTCTTCGCTATACACCAGTGGTTCTCTATAACCGAAGCAAAGACAGTATGGTACAACAGTCCCAAAGACAATATCTACAACAGTTGGTCTCTGACTACATTTACCATATATGTGGTTATGTATATCCAGTATTTTCGCAAGAAAAATGTCGAGTTGGTATTGTGTCACTCAATTCAAGTGGACTGAATGACAATGTGGAAATGATTGCCTATTATGACCTATTAGGCAGCAGCTGGTCCATTCTAACACTTAGTAGTGTAGACAAAACAACAAGAAAAGGCTAAAATAAGCACACAAAGAATTTGAGGGCTTGTCTTCACGAGGTGATGCTCCTCTTGCTCCGTCACTTGCAGACAAGGTTGTGTTACTCGTTGACTCTGCAGCTGTACACACTGTCGAATTGAAAAGCTCGTGAACAGACAATTTCGCCTGTTCCATCAATTCCCAGCATAGGAAACACTGTCAGACGAAGCGGTGCTCATTGGCGAGCCGGGTACCTGATTACCGTCACGGTCGCCAATCGCGAACGATTCGTCGTCCGACAGGAGCGACTCGTCGTACACCCGGGCAGAAGCCGCAGGGTAAGCGAAGAGCTTACTACCTTTAGCAGGATATCCCACAGATGCGGTCCGCGAATTCCGACGGCTCGTCGTCGCTCCTGCCGTCGTCTTCCTCATTCGCCGGCTCGACCGGCGACGCTCAGTTACTGGAGTCGACGCGACAGGATGCTGTGGCATCGGTCCACGAAGAGCACTCGCTTCGCTCATCCCCGTCGTAGTCTTCGCCTTCGTCGCCGTGCATCTCGCTGTCGCCAACGGAGTGCAGAGTCACGGCATCGCTGCTTCCGTCCCCGTGAGGCGCGCTCGTTCTACCTCTCCGTCTGGAAAACGGCGTCAAGGGCTTGGAATTTGTGGCACGATGCTTGGTATCAGCGCCGCTGGAGGAGGGTCGCAGGCGGTGCGAAATCCAGGAGGCGATAGTGGAGAATATGGAAGGTTCAGCGGGAAAATCCGTTGTCGGCGTGGGGTTTCCCAAAGCGTCGAGCTTCTTTTCGGATGTTGGGCCCGTATCGGTGTCGAACGCGTTTGGGTTGAGACGGGAGCGCCATGATGGCGGGCTGCTTGTGTGCGTGGGGCGCAGCGGACATGCAGTCGTTTCTATTAAATAATGAAGATCAGGGATGGGTTGTCAAGTAGTAGGAGCTTGCTACGAGCAGAGGATATCGGTTGAAACCTTTTTCGAAACTCCAATAGTAATTGAGCAGAGGATATCGGTAGTAACCTTTTTCGAAACTCCTATAGCACTCCAGATAGCAAGTTTGGCACTCGGAATTTGGCCTAAGTTGGTGAAGCTGGTTGCATGGAGCAAATTCTGAATTTGGGATTTGGCTGCGCGACTCGGCCCTTGTGGATGGAGGCATGCCAACCGTGCGAAACCGTGGAGACACACGAATTGGTGGCAGGCGGGACAGGTTGGCAGCAGAGGAGGACCCACGAACTCGCATGGTGGTGGGGACGATATCACCAAAACCAGTTCGCGGAAGCGCGTGTTTTCAAAAGCTGTTTCCAGCCGTTACGAATACTTTAGTCATTCTAAATGGGAATGAACAAACAATCTTCTATATCCAGAGAAAACAAGGTACAAATATAATAACGAAGCGTACCAACAAAGAGTGGGTGACGGGGATTGCAAACTAGTCCCAAGCAAGCAAGTACACCCTGTTTTCTCGTGTTGAAATGCTAGGCAGAAACGAGAAACAGGAAAGAGAGTTTTCACTAGCATGCAGTTCAGTACATATTAGCAAACCCTAATTCGGGCTGTACTCGCTATAGAGTACCCCACTGCAAGGCTACACAAACATCACATTCTGACACACCCCGATAGTCAAAGTGGGGTATAATCAGCACAGCAAGCAGTCATAGAGCAATAGTTCACAATGATAAGCAAGGCTAGAGGCAGTCACAGAGGGCAAGTGAAGAGGAGGAGAGACTGTGAGAGGAGTGAAGATTGTTGGGCTGAGAAGGCCCTTTAGGATCTTTACAGGACAGAATTCAAGAGTAGGATGATGTACTAGCGGAAGTGTTTAATAAAGACTTGTTGAACCACCTTGTACTGGTTTTGTGAGAACAAAGTGAGTTGATAATAACAAAAGGATACAAGCTTTTATATGATTACAAGGAATATGAAAGGGTTCTATTTTAACTGTTTTGCTGTTGCGGTTCGATACAGTGCCGACTCGGGTAACTGCTCTGTAACGAGTCAGTTATATATCCTTGCTGTCGCACTGTACAATTTTGTCAGGTCAAAGGTCGGGGACCTTTGACCTTCGCGTAACCTCCGACAGTTGACTCGCGTGATACTTCGCTGTAGTTAGTTCCGTTTTGTGTCTCAGCGTCGATACGACAGAGGCGCTATAAATCATTTGTTTCCAACACTCCCCTTCGCTTCTGGAGTGTCGCTGCAGGTGACGTGGCTCTGTCCAGTCAGGCAGCATGCAATATTCGAACTTCGGCTTTCCGAGCTTCTTGGTCAAGTAATCAGCTGCCACCTCGGATGTGGGGCAGTAAGACAGCTCAAGTCTTCCCTTCTTCATCTCGTCCTTTACGAAGAAATAGCGCAGGGCGATATGTTTCGTCCTGTTCGCGAATCCATTTTTGTTGGCGATGCGAATTGCCGACTGGTTGTCGCAAAATAGGGAGAAGCTGGGTAACTGGGCCAGCTTCGCTTCCTCCAGAAGTTCGCAAAGATACAGTCCTTCCTTGGTGGCTGAGCAGAGTGCGATATATTTCAGCTTCAACTGAGGAGAGGGCGATTAGTTCCTGTTTGCTCGACTGCCACGAAATAGGTCCGATAGGCTCGAGACGGTAGATGTAGCCTGTGCGCGAGCGCCTGTTGTCAGAGTCTCCGACGTGGTCGGCGTCGACGTAGCCGATTAGCTTGGGCGTTGTAGTTATGTTTTTGTAGTAGATCAGGCCGATCGTCGGAGTGCTTACGAGGTAGTGTAGAGCGCGATCGAGCTCTTTCATGTGTTCGTCTTCAGGCCTTTTGAGGTAGGTGGCGAGTTGACTTGCTGAATATGATAGGTCTGGACGGCGGGGTGACGGCCGCGAAGAGAAGGCATCCCAGCTTTCACTGGTAGTTGCGTATGCCGGCGGGTTTTCAGTGGAGCAGATTCTGCCCTTGTCATTTCCCTGCCGTGTAGCGGTATGGCGTAGAGATGGTAGTTGGCGTGTGAGTACGAACCGTTTAGCGACGGTGTCGGCATATTTTGCGGCGTTGAGATAGATCGTGCCTTCTTCTTCTTGGATGTTGAGACCCAGGTATTGCGTGACGGTAGTAGATGATACCGTGAGGGGAGGTCCTTTTGTAGCTCCCCTTCGAACCAGGTAGTAACGTTGTCGGACGACCCGATGTAAAGCAGATCGTCTACGTAGACAATTAGTAGAATGTAGTCGTCGCCTTTCGTGAGCCGGTACATTCCTTGGTCGTGCGGTAGTTGCCGGAATCCGATGCGAGTGAGTCGGGCGTGTAGGTGCTGCTGCCACAGTCTCGGGGCCTGTTTGATCCCGTTCAAGGACTTCAGTAGCTGGCAGACTTGGTTAGGTTCTCCATGGGAACCATGTGGAAGTTCGACGAAGATTTCTGCGTCGACAGGTGCGTAGAGAAAAGCATTGGCAACGTCGATTTGCCGCAGCTTCTTTTTCTTCATAGCGGCGATCGCGAGAAGAATCCGTAGTGAGGTGTGTCGACTAATGGTGCAAATGTCTCGGTGAAATCGCGTCCGTGCTCTTGGTCGAAGCCACGTACGACCCAGCGTGCCTTGAACTTGTCAATGGTGCCATCTGCTTTCGTCTTCACACGGAAG